GGGGCTATAATGCTTAAATTAATTGATTTGCTCTAATCGTGTTTTGAAATGTAAAGCTCGTTTTGATCAATGAAAAGGCCAGTGGAGACTTTTGGAGTTATGAGGGCATATCATGGATGTTCTCATAATGGATTTCTTTTGGGAAAGGTGATTTTCTTCTCAAAGGCTGCTCAGATAAATGGGTCCTGTACTTTCCACATCCATAACAGCTAAATCACACATATAGACATAGGATAGGAAACCCATACAGGAAAAAGCCTCATGAATGCAGACAGCCAATGGTGGTTCCATTTTCCACTTTCTGCAGAAGGGGAATTATTTTTTATTTATATATGCTACTTATACAATCAAATGTATTTCACTTATTTAAAAGTCTTAGGATGCTTTAAAACACCAGTGAAGGTAAAAATAGAGTCAGTAAACAAAAAAATAGACCCATGATCCACAAAATGATCAGATCAGTCTAGGGCAGTGGTTCTCAACCTGTGGGTCGGGACCCCATTTGGGGTCGAACGATCATTTCACGGGGGTCGCCAAACAACGCAGTCCGCCATTTTTCCCCCCTTTTCCTTCGCTGTGCTACTCCCTTTTATTCTATTGGCTTTGAAAGCCAATAGGAATTGTCCAGGCTGTCTCTGCCCTGCTGAGCCCGCCAAAAGTCCCATTCTGCAAATGGTGCTGCACCAGTTGAGTAGTCCTCGACTTACAACCGGTTGAGTAGTCCTCGACTTACGACCAGTTGAGGGTCGCAGCATTAAAAAGGTTGAGAACCAGAGAACCACTGGTTTAGGGCCACCATGCATGCCAAAAAACTAATTGAAACAGTATTATGTTTTTTACATCTTTATGGGGCCACTACCAAGAATGCCTATCTCTATGCCCTACTCCTTGCATCTCATGTAGGATGGGAACCTTAGCCCCTCTTAGACTGGACATATAGGACAGCTACAGTAGATAGTCTTGTAAGTACATGAGTGCCAAGTCATATAGAGCTTTATAGGCTAAACCATCACCTTGACGCCTAACAGTAACCAACACAAACAACTAAAGTCTGGGTATTATACTGTTATTAATCCTATGAACCATTCATCTGGAATTTTCCTACCAAGTCTTTCATTTTACATTTTGTACAGGATAGGACATAGAGGGATCCTTGATAAGTTTTTCAAATGTGAATAGAAAGGCTATTGTGTAATTACCATTACTGTGTCAATACTAGTAGTAAGTAGTAATAGTTCTTTTCTACTTTTTGTATATTAGCCTGAAAAGACATTTGTCCTTGACCAGTAGTTTCTCAGAGTGATAAGCACTTTATGCAAGGAGATAGGAACTAATAAGCTGCAAAAGAGTGTCTATTATTTTGGTTCCCTGAAAAGGAGATCTTGTATTGGTTTGTAAACCTTCAGTAAATCTTAAAGCATTTCTAGTAATTTAGATTTATGCTCCTAGTATTAGCATCAGATTTCTTTGCATCAGAGAACCCTAACAAGTCCAGTAGATTTTAATGGGTCTACTCAACAAATTATTAGGAGTGGATTATGCCATTATATTTTTTCTGCCAGGGTACAGAGTATTTTTTTTTCCAGCTACTCTCCATTTTACTATTGTGTTGTCATATTACAGCAAACTGGCACCAATCTTTTAAATCGTTTGCTTCATGGTTATATGTTTAAGTTGCTATCCTACCATTACTATCCAAGATGGTTACTTTTTAGTCAGCCTGTAATTTGTGCTGCCCTTTGCTTAACTGTAAAAAGAAACATGTGCCATTAAATCCCTTATTAATACTGAATTTAATTTATATTAAACAGTTTGAGAAATTATGCTCTGAAGCTCCATCCTTTGGCTTTAAGTGGATATGTGTAAGATTAGTATTGTATACTCTTTATGCATGTTGCTAACTGTTAAGCAGTGCATTAAAGTGAATTGGGTGTCTTTTTTTTCCTTTCAGTGAATACCTGGTTGAAATGATTAACCTAATGGAGTTAGCCAGTGATAGAAGGAATGACCGCTCTGCTCAGAGTTCTAAATTTTGTTTAGGGATTGACATAGAATGCATATATCTATATATTCTACAGAATATTAGTACAGTATAAGAACCAAAATATTATAACTTGTGATATTGTAAAGCTCAGTTTATTGTAATAATGATATTGTGTTACTATGAATCTAATTGTAATATTATTGAAGTATTAAGCTGCTGTTTAAGTCTGTTCTCATCCTGTTTTATATATGAGTTCACCCCCTCCCCTAAATTGTACTGAACCAAGCTCCTTATACACAATAGTTCCCAGTCATTTGTTAATGCTTTTCCTCCTACACAGAGTTCAATCATGCAGCAGTTGCAGCTCACAATTCATTGGTTACTAAGGAACAAGGGAACCTGATATGATCAGAGCTGCATATGGGGTTATTGTAGTATGTAATTTTAACCATCCAGGTAGAGTTTAAACTTGTGTATGCAGATACAGATTGAAAGGATCAGAAAGTAAAATCCTGCCCTGAATAGGCTTTAAAAAAATGGAGAAAAAGAGTTGGATGGAGACACCTCAATAGTTATAGAATAACATTTCAATATTTGAGAGGCATATTTGATTGTGCTTCTGACCTAGATAAAATATGTGCAGGAAATAAAGGTAAGTCTCCTGCTTTGTTATTGTCTCATTGGTTGCCTCTTACTTCCTTGAGGCAATTCTGATTTCCACGGTGGACAAAAGGAAGAGAAAAAATAAATAATCTAAACTTATTCTTTCAGTTTTGTGGTGATTTCATGCATGGCTTACTACAGTGCAGTGTTTTAATCAATAGTGTGATTAAGTGCCGCCACACATGAACTGAAAACTATATCAAAATACACATGGACCAGAGTCAAAACAAAGTCCAGAAATAAACAGAATAATGAGATCATTGGCACTTTGGGGCTGCTCCAATCTGCTCGGTAATTCAGAATCCATATAGAAAGGAGAAGTTTGTAAAGAAAAAGAAATTGCAATATTCAGTTGAGGAAAATGATACATTAATTACATTGACCCTGATTAAACTTTAAAATGTATGCCTTATTTTGGGTGATGGTAGCAACTGTGAACTCTATTACTGTTTATATCCAATGATATGTTGGAAAAAAAGTATGCAGACGGGACTTGGGACTCTGTATATCATCAAGATAATTCTAAACACTGAACAGATTGGGATCTGTTATGGCGGGGAAAGCTGGCAAAAGAAAGATTGGATTTCTGAGCCAGATTGATCTGGGGGCTGCAGAGAAACACATTGCAGGAAAAAAAATATCCCAGATCCTCTCTACGGGTGAGGCATTTGGGCAGCACTCAGAATGGGGGATTACTCTTCCATTTTAGGCCCCTTCCCTTTCTTGCTCATTTGGTTCAGAATCATGCTCTTAATAAGGGCTACAAAAGATTTTCTCCATCTTATAATTGTTTGACAATGTCTGTATTGATTTAGCTTACTTGTATGAGTCATGTACTGCAGTGTTCCCAACCTTTCCAGCTTTGCAGACCAGCAGGAGAGGGAGAGAGAGGGAATGGTTATGTGAGAGTGGTGACAGGAAGTGTGCCGTTTGCACAAATGGCACCACGTGCACACACCCGCTGCTCATGCAAATGAAGCTGCATGTGTGCATGCACTCACCTGCTACTCCCGTGGCCCGGTTCTGAATGGTCAGGGTCCCGTTGTGGAACGCAGCGCGGGGATTGGGGACCCCTGATCTACTGTATATACTACTAAATTTCTTGTTGTCATGACCTTTAGTTGGGTGAAACAGTGCATCATGGGGCAACAAATTTTGAACCAATAGACTTACAGAATGTGCCCAAAATCTGGGACTCATGATTCCCAAATGAATGAAATTTGGGGAAGTTCTGGCTGTTTTAGGCTATTGGCGGCGGCTTTACTGGGCTGCTGCTGCTGCTGCAGTAAAGTGATTTTCATTTATAACATTCCATGACAGTTTCCTAGCCAGTCTTTCAATCCTTCGCTCTCTCCTGCACCCAGTAGCAGCTAAGTACTTGGCTGCTGAGAAGGGAAGGGAGATTTCCAATCTTCCCTGCCCGATTCCCAAAAGGAAACTCAGTGGAGAAACTGGCAGGAAGTGAGAAGTCACTTTTGCTTTCACTGTTTTTTTGCTTACCATGGTCATTTTGTATCTCTGTTTTAGGTCAGTGGTGGCGAACCTATGGCACGGGTGCCAGAGGCGGCACTCAGAGCCCTCTCTGTGGGCACGCGTGCCGTCACCCCAGTCCTAGGCCTTCAGCTGGGTTTTATAAAACCTTTTTGCTTTAGGCCTCCGCCGCCATGTGCAAAAAAAAAAGGTTCAATCAATCAGTCAATTTCAACTTCTCGCGGGGAAAAAAAGATCTTGCAAAGTTGGAATTGATTGATTGAATTTTTTAGTCCCACCCAGTCTGCTGTTACCACCGCAGCCATGCCCATCCAGTGGGCCACACCTTCCCAATTGGCCACACCCAGCCAATGAGCCACATCCACCCGGCACCCGATGATGCATAAGTGGGTTTTGGGTTGCAGTTTGGGCACTCGGTCTCTAAAAGGTTCGCCATCACTGGTTTAAGTAAAGAAATATCTCTAAAAAGGTGACCCAACGGCATGGGTTGTCTAGTCCTTACTATTATTTGGTTTTTTTCCTTTTCCTTTTGCCTTTGAGTCAGTCTTGACTCCTAGTGTCTTCCTGAATAAGTCCCTGGAGTTTTCTTGACAAGGTTTTTCAGAAATGATTTGCCATTGCCTGGTTCCCAGGACTAAAAGAGAGTCACTGGACCAAGGTCACCCAGCTGGATTTGTGCCACAGTTTCCTGGTTTCTAGCTTGATTCCTCAACCACTCCACTTAACTGGGTTTCTATTCAGCTATAGCAATAAAATTGCTGGTTAGAGTTTAACTGATAGGATGTTCTGAGTTTCATAGTTTTCCTTCAGGTTGAAATTTTGATTTCCTCTTTTCTTTCCCTCCTTTTCTTATTCATTTCAGAGATGCTTGTAGAAGATTGTGGTCACAAGGAGATGATTCCTCATGAAGTCTCTGGATCCACAAAAGAAATCAAATGTGATTTTCCACTTAGCAGACTGAAATCAGAGCCAGCCAGGCAGTGAAGCCACAGAAGATAAGGGCAGGGGGCCGGTGAAAAATGAAATCCAACCAGGAGAGAAGCAATGAATGCCTGCCCCCCAAGAAGCGGGAAATCCCTGCTACCAGCCTGCCTTCTGAGGTGAAGCCATTAGTTCTGGCCAGTGAAAATCACCGTGCAGATAATATAACATGGCTCTCAAGTACAACCAGCAGCCTCAGCAGTGGGCGGAATCGATCTGGAGGTATTTCAGTGGAGGCTGGTTCACAACAAGGAATAGGTTTACACAAGTCACTTTCTACAGGAATGGATTATTCCCCACCTAGTGCTCCTAGGTCTGTTCCAGCCTCTGCCACACTTTCCACAGTGTACCCCTCTGCCCTTTCACAGGCAGGAACACCTGTTTCGCCAGTGCAGTACACACACTTGCAGCATGCTTTCCAGTTTGTTGGGCCTCAGTATAGTGGACCATATGCCGGATTCATCCCTTCGCCGCTAATTTCCCCAACAGCTAATTCTGCAACCACCACGGCAGCCTCCGCCACTGCTGTTGCAACCACTCCATCCCAGCGATCGCAGCTGGAGGCATATACTTCTTTGCTGGCCACCATGAGCAATCTTAGCCAACAAGGCCAAAAAGTGGAGCCACATTTAATCAGGACACCTGGATTGATCACGGCAGGATCTCCTCCACCTATTCAGCAAAACCAGTATGTCCATATTTCCAGCTCTCAGAGTGCTGTCAGAAACGTCTCTCCTCCAGCCATCCCAGTCCATTTGCATCCTCACCAGACAGTGATTCCTCATGCATTTGCCCTTGGCCCTTCCTCCCAGGTAGTAGTGCAATATGCAGATTCCGGTGGCCATTTTGTTACTAGGGAGTCCACCAAGAAATCTGAGAGCAGCAGATTGCAGGCTATGCAAGCAAAGGAAATACTGAATGGGGAAGTAGACAAGAGTAGGCGATACGGCATCTCACCCTCTTCTGAAGTCAATCTTATCAAATCAGGCAATAAACCATCTCCTCATCATTATGAGGCCAGACATGTGGTAGTCCACTCTGGTCCTACTGATTATATTGCACGTGATTCCTCTGCTGTCCGACCCTCTGTTATGGTTGTTCCCAACAGCAGTACACCTACTGACATGGAGGTTCAGCAGTCCACCAATAGAGAAACATCTCCTTCAGCCATCAACGAAAAGGGAAGTTTGCATTTAGGAAAGACAGGCCACCGATCCTATGCTTTATCTCCACAACAGACTATTGGTCATGAAGGGGTGAAGGCAGTTGCCACTTTATCCCCTCACACTGTCATTCAGACCACCCATAGTGCTTCAGAGCAGCTATCTGTTGGGTTGCCAGCTACAGCCTTTTACACTGGGACTCAATCACCTGTAATTAGCTATCTGAGCAGTCAACAGCAAGCCTTTGGCTATCCTGGAAATCTACCACAGCATCTGGTGATCCCTGGTACCCAACCTCTCTTAATACCAGTAGGAAGTGCAGATATTGACTCCTCAGGGGTACCGCCTGCTATAGCCACTTCATCTCCCCAGCTGGCAGCAGTGCCTCATACGTTTGTCACAACCGCCATTCCAAAAAGTGAGAATTTCAGTGCTGAGTCCCTAGTAAGCCAGCCAGCTTACCAGGCAGCTGTGGTCCAGGCCCAGATCCATCTCCCCCTGGTCCAGCCGGTACCACCTTCAGCAACAGCTCCTGCTATATTGCCTCCTTATTTTATGAAAGGTTCTATAATTCAGTTGGCAAATGGAGAGCTGAAGAAGGTAGAAGACTTAAAAACAGAAGACTTTATACAGAGTGCAGAAATTAGCAGTGACCTGAAAATAGATTCCAGCACCGTGGAAAGAATTGACGACAGCCATAATCCAGGCATTGCTATGATACAGTTTGCAGTTGGAGAGCACCGAGCACAGGTAATCAACACGAGAGCTTGTGGAGGGGAGGGGGGGAGAAGAAGTCATTAGGAAAGTAGACATAATATCCTTATTATTCCTGCTCTTGATTCTTAGTCTCTTAGCCTCGGATTAATAGATTGGTGACTGGGTGCACGAATGGCCTTACACAAATTACACTAGTGACAGAGGATTCAATTGGATGAAATTATTGTTATGTAGCCGAAGATTGCTGCAGTTTTGAACCTTACAGAAATATAAATACTATGTGACTTATCATGCTTAATAGACATTCTGCTTTTAATATTAAGTCCCAAAAGGATGATCATTTTCTTAAACTAATTAAAATATGTAGAGTTTAAACACACACAGTTTTTCTTAGCTAGGCATTAAACAGAATCACAACAAGAAGAAGAAACCTCTCTCAAGGAATGATGGATCATTGTTTTATGACAGGGGTCTTCAAACTTGGCCCTTTTATGACTTGTGGACTTCAACTCCCAGAATTCCTCAGCCAGGGAGCTGAAGTTCACAAGTCAGAAAAGGGCCAAGTTTGAAGACCCCTGTTTTATGACGTTATACTTTGGTCAAATAAAAGACAGTCTCAATGTTACTTCTTTTGCTCTTCAGTTAATTGAGCAATAAAGAACCAACACAGGGACCTGCGTTTCTCATTAGGGTTTATTAGTTTAACTTTAGTAATTATCTTTAACTATTAACTCTAATAAATGAAGAAAAATTAATCAACTATAATGTTGTCTTGCTAAAAAAAAATAATGAAATTAAGCCAGAACAGCGTAATGAAAAGTAAAATAATCTGTATGGAAATTTGATTTGCAGTCTAGAATATTTTAAGATTTTACCTGTAGCAGTGTATTTGCTAATAGTTTCTCATGTTGGCAGGTTAAATGTGGGCTTTAGTAAGCACTTTCTGGTATCCATTCACAAATTCCTGTCCCCATTAATGAAATGTCAGCAGATGTTGTTTTCAAAATGTTTTTGGTCTGCTTTATAGTAGCAAGTATTGATGAAAAATACAGCTGATTTCTCCAGTCTCTTTTCTTGTAATCTTCCCATTATGTCATAACATTTCAGAATGCAATGGGTGGTTTGAATTTGAAAAGTTTAGAAAACTTGCAATCATTTCTTTGAAGCTACATTCCATTATTTAGAACAGTGGTTCTCAACCTGTGGGTCGGGACTCCATTTGGGGTAGAATGACCATTTCACGGGGGTCACCAAACAACGCAGTCCGCCATTTTTTTCCCCTTTTCCTTAGCTGTGCTACTCCCTTTTATTCTATTGGCTTTGGAAAGCCAATAGAATAGACTCTCTTGAATAGAGTCTAATTCTATTGGCTTTCAAAAGCCAATAGGAATTGTCCAGGCGGTCTCTGCCCTGCTGAGCCCGCCAAAAGTCCCATTCTGCAAACGGTGCTGCACCAGTTGAGTAGTCCTCGACTTACGACTGGTTGAGTAGTCCTCGACTTATGACCAGTTGGGGGTCGCGGCATTAAAAAGGTTGAGAACCACTGATTTAGAAGGATCTGCAGATTAATTAGCTTAGTTAGGTGTCATAGAAGCAGTGGAGGACTCCTAGGGACTGTGTGGATAAGGCCTTATTAACTGATCTATCTTTAGTAATAACTCATAACTCTTCTGTTCCAATAATCTTGTTAATACTGTCCAATCATCTTACCCCATTGTCTTCTTCTTTTCCTTTGCTTAACTTCCCAACATATAATTATTATTATTATTATTATTAGTCCATCACTCATTTGATAACATTTATGTATATTTTTTGCTTGGTAGTTATCACTTCAAGATACCAGTCAGCCTTTATTTGAAACTGGAATAATTGTTCTGTTCTTTCTGCAGTCCATGATACTCATAGTAATAATCTGTAATCCTATAGTTCAAAGCATCTATCTTCAGTATCCTACACACTCTCAATATCTAGCTTCAACAGTAATGCATTACCATTGGAAAGGCAATTGTTTTAACTGTTATAACCTTTACTGTTATTGAAACAGCTTTAACCTTCATAATTTTGTCAGAGTTTGCATCGTCTTTCTCTTTAAGATTACTCTCCAGCGCATTGCTATAACACACTGTCCATTTTTATCCATTGTTGCGCTAGATAAATCATACTAATACCTTCACTTCTTTGCCATCAGTTGTAAGTTCATTAAACATGTAAATTGAATTTTTACCTTCATAATATTTAATACAAACACAGATTTTCCATTTTTCTTTCATAATGACCTGTTATAAAGCTCTTTCCTTTTCTACCAGAATGGTGTCATCTGCATATCTCAAAAGATTGATGTTTTAGCTTCCAACTTTAATTCCAACTGTTATCTCTTCCAACTCTGTTATTCCTATAATAGATTTGCTATATAAGTTAAAGTGATATGGGCACAATTTGCTTCTTTGTCCCTATTCTGACTCACTTTGGTTCTTGAAATTCAGTTCTTAATAATTACTTTTTGTTCATAGTAAAGATCCCTCAGAAGAATAGTGTGGGTGTTCTGATACATCCTTTAGCCTTTAGGTTCCATATTCAAGTATTATCCCTAAAATCAACATATTTGCCAATTAGTGAAGGAAGGTAAATCTTCTTGGATTCTCTTGTTCTTAATTTGTGTAATGATAACTAACTTATAATATATCAATCTGCCTTTTCTGAAACCTCTTATTTGGTTTGAGAGTTTTCTTTCCTTATTTTTCTTGAATAAAATATGTGACAAAACCTTACATGTGTGAGGTATTTGTTCATTTCTTGCATTACCTTTCTTCAGTATAGGAATATGCACTATTTTTTTCCAGTTTTAGATCCTATAGCCTTGTTTTATATTTGATGACATAAGAGTTGTTTACACTATAATTGTCTTTTCTCCTGCAGTTTTAAACAGTTCACTGGCTTTTACATCTGCACCAAATGGTTTCATACTTAAAACTGATGCATTGTTTCACATTCCTCATTTTTTAGAACTGGTTTCCAAGAATATTTTCTCTCCACAAAGGTTTCTGTAATTCTGTAATCATATTTGTAAAGAGATATCCTTTCTCCCATCAGCAGAGTTTTTTACCTTAGCCCTAACACTTTCACCTCATTTGCATTTATTACTCTCTTCTGTTATTATTCATGCTTATTACTATTTCAGATATATACTTTAAATATGTTATTTAAAGATCTATATTTTTTCATTTTCCTGTTGATGTTCTTGATTGAGATATCTTTCTTTGGCATTTCTTCCTGGCATTGGAAGTCTTGAGTTCAGTTGTCATTCTTGTCTCCTAAAGCTTTCACCTGTCCTCCCAGGTTTCTCATGATAAGATGCCTGAAAGATGTTCTTGAATCATTTTTTTCTCCGTTTGGGTTTTTACAATATCTCTTTCCATAATGCCTTCATTTCTATTTCATAAATGAATAAAATGTACCACAGCCTGTTACATATGTTATCACTGTCTGGCATAACCATTTCCTTTAATTTTCTAAGTTTAAAGCATATATCTGTCACTAATAATTGGTGGTCTGCCCTGCAAGAGTTCTAGCTGACTGGATTGCATTTCTCCATCTTTTGTTTCGTATTGTGGAACTGATTTGATTCAGTGATGGGTATCTAGTGTGTCCATGTTTGAAATAGATGTTGTCAATAAACAATCTTCCAGTTCTGCTAAGTCTGTACATTTGCCTTTAAAGCAATTTTATGAGAATAGGCTATCTGGAGTTTTGCTGTTCCAGTGGACACACAAGACATAGCCAAGGTTAGGTGTCTCATGCCACTGATATGGAAATAAAATAGGAATCAACAGTTGTTTCTTTCTTATGAAAAGGTTTGCTATAAGAAATGAACTTTTTGAAAAAAAATGTTTTGCAAATGAAAATTAAGGAACAAAATCCTGGAATAAGATTTTACTCTTTCATTTGTTTAATCTATGTATCTGAAGGACATAGGTAAGGATGTTTCTGACTAAACATTGCCAAAATTAGAGAAAATATATCTGAACTACAATGACATACACAGTGAATGCAGGTATAGTACATATGTACAGGCAGCAGCACACATAAGCAACATCACAGAATAGTATTTTTCTGGCTATAATTCTTATGTGCAGTACCATGTTGTTACTAAAGAGTAGTGCAATTATGTCAATATTAGAGGCAAGCCAAAATCTTAAATCAGGTAAAAAGATCAAATGTGTTGATAGGTAAGATGGACAATAGTGTATTTGGCCTGTAAGAGCATACTCTAGTCCAGTGTTTCTCAACCTTGACAATTTTAAGGCATGTGGACTTCAACTCCCAGAATTCCACAGCCAGCATTGCTGGCTGTGGAATTCTGGGAGTTGAAGTCCACATGCCTTAAAATTGTCAAGGTTGAGAAACACTGCTCTAGTCTGAGGTTCTGAAATAGAGGCTATAGCTTGGGTACAGGTAGAAACTGGCAAGCAGAAATTTAAATGGAATAGTGTGGACAATAGACTAGAGAGGTTTTTTTTATGAAAAGGTTGTATGTTTCAAAGGTGTGCAGTATGTGTGGGTGATTGCTGACTAACTCACAGGTTTATTGTTGCCTTCTGATCTTCCTGGCTGAAATTTTCTGTCAGTCTTTTTTTTCACCTCACCCCAAATAGGATCTTGTATCGTTAATAGAGGCAGAATTGTCCCTGAATATGAAGAGGCAGTGACATAGAAAGTATGTTCCTACCTTTCATATTATTATTATTGAAAGTACAGGAATTCTCCTAGAAAGCAGAGAAAGACTTTTCGATTTGGAATATGTGTGGGATCTGCTGCTATTTCATATAGTCAAAATGAAAAAATAGGAAAAAAATTACCTGCAGGAAAATATGTATATGTAAAAATATATATATATATATCTTTGGTAGTCCATAATATAGTTCATTTTGGCATCCTTAAGTCTTTCAATATTATCCTGAATTGTCATAGTATGTTCCAGAAATACGGAAGCAATGTTTTTGTATGGTGTTCTCTTGTTCACTGACAGTCTCACTACAGCTTGCCTTTCAGAGATTGAGAGTGCCATCATCTGGTAGAAGAAATGATGATGACCTCTCCTATTAAAGTGTCACTTTATGCAGAAGTCTAACAAAACGTAGCTGATATCATCACCTTAAAATACTTCACCAGCTGTGTTTCTCACAAGAGATGCTTCCAGAATTCAGAGACAGTCACGTAGAAATGTGAGTTTAATTTAGGTTTTCTGTAGACTCCAGGAGTTGGATGTTTTCCTAGATGAATCATGTTCTTCTGTCGTAGCAGCTACTCTTCTACTGAGGTTGTTGTTATTGTTTTTGAAATAAGTAAATAAAACCGCCTCACTAAATAGGCTTTAGCATCTCTTACTTGGAGTGTATCTTTAATATATTACCAGAACTTTGTTGCTATATACAGTATTTGTGAATGGAAGTGACTGTGAGTTCAGAAGTATATCATATATAGTCCTGCAGCATGAACTCCTTATATAGCATATTGATTCCCTTATTCTTCTTCCTATGATCTGCAGTTGTGAGATAAGGTAGTGCTAAACTTCTTAAGGATTACTTAAATGGCACATCTGTGGTATTGCATAAAAATGTAAGAACAGCTTTGAGAGGACAGAGCTAGTGTGCTTTTTCTTAGTTTTCCTCTTGACACGTCATTGTTAGTCTTGACAATCTAAAGCAGAGGAATGTATGGGGAAGGGAAAGCAAATGAGTAGTCAGAAAGGAAAAAAAATAGCTTGAATTCTAAGCACTATTTATTGGCTGAAATTAAGAGACATCACAGATCTGGTCATCTCTCCCTCCTTGAATTATAACATGGGGGGGTGGAGACAGAGAGAGGGAGGGAGGGAGAAGTGAATCATAAGGAAGCATTGTTGAATCAACATTCAGTTCATAGGTTAGTAATCTATTGAGTGGAATGTGAATAAGACAAAAAACAGATTTAAAATGGAAGAAAAAATATTGCATTCTATGAATGCATCCTGGAAATATTATGGTGATTTAGCCAGGCAGTTGATAAACACTGAAAAATAATTTTCTATATGAGTAAAATTCTACACTGTATAAAGCACTGTCTAATCAACAGATCAGACAACAAAACAGATACAGCATCAAAGCTAGCAGATGTAAGACAGTGTTTTATGGTTAGTTAAAGACAGTGGTGGGATTCAAATATGTGAACCACCGGTTCTGTGTGGATGCGACTTCCAGAAGTCCATTCTGGGCCTGGGAAACAAAAAGTTAGCTACCAGTTCTGCCAAAGTGGTGCGAACCAGCTGAATCCCACCACTGGTTAAAGACTAATAAACTTATTATGGTTTCAACTTTGACTGACCAGCATCCACTATCAGATGCATGAATTGTGCTATTCTTAGTAGATAGAACTGCAAATATTATATAGTTCTAATATATCAATAATTTTAGGAGAGATGCAGTTATTTTGTATTGAAAAGGATTTAACATAGGGCATCAGTTAGTATTGCTTGAAAAGACTCTGGTAATCCACTACTTCAGTAATCTAGATTTATTGGGATAACTGTTCATAATTCCCAGTTTGGAGATCTTGCCTGGAAACTCAAGCTCAGATTTAAAAAGGTTGATGAGCTAGTTAGATCAGTTGTCCCCATTTTAATATAACTATTCTAGGTTCCATACAATTTGACAATAAAGGGATTGGATAGCTAGAAGCAGACCGTGCTTTATTTCAGAGTCCTATAATAATTTGTGGTAAAAAGTTTTAATCTTGTTAAATTATTTTCCACAAAAAAACTGATAAAACTATTTGTAATTCAAATTGGAAGTAGATCATAATTTTGCTAAGTAGATTAACAATTTTTATTTTTCAATTTCTTATTTATGATTCAGCTTCCACCCTATCAGATATGATTGTATCCAACCTTTGTTAAGAATAGTTAAATTTTTGAAATTTAACTTTGAAATCAAAGTTGACTTCTCAGCAATAATTTACTGATTGCTAACCCAACCCAAAATCTCTTCTGAATGCAGAATCCAGCCTGTAATCTTTTAGATAATTAAACCAGTATTTTTTAAAGCAAGAAATATGATTAGATTCCCCTAAGAGCTAAAGAACATGATTGGAGAACTCATTCATGGAAAGATACGTTGTGCAATATATATAATTAACATTCTCACTTGCAGATCCAACATGTACTTAATCTGCGTTAGAATATTTTGATCTTGTGGTTTTTAAAAGTGGTTTGTACATTCATTCATTCATTTTGCTACTTCATCAGTTTGTGCAGTCCATCTGCAACAGTTGTTTTTATTTTACATTCATTGATCATGAACATTTTCCCTGCAACTTGGTTCCATGATAGTAATTTTCTGGTTGGTTAGCCTTCACGTGTTACTTGTCCTTACACTGGTTTCCATTTTCTTGTAGGCAGGATTGTTTAGTCCAGTCTTTCCATCTTAATGCCTTTGAGATGTTATTTCAGTTCCTCTCCCATCGTTCTTGCAGCAACAAATTAGCACAAGCCCAGAAGGAAACTCTGGTCCTACCCAAAAAGGCAACGGAAAGGCCAGTAGAAATCTATACAAGCCAAACTCCCAGAAGATCTCGGTGCAATGCAACATTGAGATTCATGATAGTAAAGAAATAATAGTATTTGAAGCAGCTACAGAATATAGGCAAGACCATAGTATGGTGACTTTGGATGTATTCAGGATGTGGTTATTACCAATTTCACTATAATAAGTAAAGGCCTTCCACAACTTTCTGCTTTTTTACTTGATCTTCTACTGAATTGTTTTGCTTTACAGAAGGGTCTCTGTAGACCATCAGATCAGCTTCTTAGCAAAAGTAAAATCTGAAAAGGATTCACAAACTATTTATTTAAGGTAAACCACATTTGCAAAATATTCCCAGGAGAAAAATCTCCATGATAATATGTATATGTCATCCTGGCTCATGTGAAAACCATTATGCATACAAGATAGTCTTCACCTTACAACTGGTTGCTTAATGACCATCCAAAGTTACAATGGACTTTTAAAAAGCTATTTCTCGAAATTATGACACACACATGCAGTCACATTATTGCATTTTGAGCATTTGGGAACTAGCTCGCATTTATGACTGGTTGCAGTATCCTACAGTCATATGACCACAATTTGCAAACCTTTTTGCTGATTTCTGGTGATTCTTGCCAGTTTCCAGCATTGGATATGCTGGATCTGTTTAATGAGCACATGATTTGCTTAATGGCAATAACAACTCATTTATGACTGTTGTAAAATCTGCGGTAAAATCAAATCAGTCATACAGTATAGTGCCTTGACTTAAAACTGCAAGACTTATGACTGAAATTCCAGACTCCATTGTGGTCCTAAGTTAAGGGCTATTTACACACATGCAATGGCTTTTTGACAGATCATTGTATTGAAGGGATTTAATTGAACTACCGATATTGAACATTCCAGATATAATATACCTGAACAGAAAAAATTGAAAAATCAAAGTTTCACCTGTACCACCAACACCTTTGAAGGATCTTTCCAGAAGTACATAAGGAGAATTTACTGTTTTACTTCTGCCAAGGCTGTGAAAAATCTTGGAGTATTAACATTTTCTTAATCTGAATGCTATACATTTGTTTTCTGGGAATGAGAACACACGTTCTCTGGAAATACATTTATCAATCTTTGAAAATATACATGTAAAGAACGAGCAAATGAGCATATTAAAATTCATATGCGTGTTTTCTATTTTCTATCTACAGGTCAGTGTTGAGGTTTTGGTAGAATATCCCTTTTTTGTATTTGGACAAGGCTGGTCATCCTGTTGCCCTGAGAGAACAAGCCAGCTCTTTGATTTGCCGTGTTCCAAACTCTCTGTTGGTGATGTCTGCATATCACTTACGCTCAAGAATCTGAAGAATGGCTCAATTAAAAAGGGCCAGTCCATGGACTCAGCTAGCATCTTGTTGAAGCATTCTAAAAATGACAGTCTAGTTGGCAGCAGACATAGATATGTGGAGCAGGAAAATGGGATTGATCAAGGCGGTGCAAAGATGACATCTGAAAATGGTGAACTGAAGTTTCCAAACAAAATAGGATTACCTGCAGCATCTCTACTCACCAAATCAGAATCCAGCAAGCCCACAGCAACTCGGAAGAGGAGGTGGTCAGCCCCTGAAACACGGAAACTAGAGAAGTCTGAAGAGGAGCCACCGTTGACTCTTCCCAAGCCTTCTTTTATTCCTCAGGAGGTTAAGATTTGCATTGAAGGGCGATCCAATGTAGGCAAGTGAAGTCTATTAGGAAAAAAAAATTAGAATATCCCTTGTCATTTTTATCCAGATTACTGTACTGTAGGCTAAATAACCGAGTATTTACATGTTATCATCTTATTTTAGGTTTATGTTTATAACGTTGTTATAGTTGCAGTTAGTATTATGCAGGAGACAGGTGCATACTTCCCCCACCTAGGTGTTCATTGGTGATTATTTTTATCAAGAGCTACAAAAAAGGGCAGTATCTGCTTGACACATGAACACACACCCTTTGTGGAAGCAAATGTTGACATGGCACCTGTTTTCCCACACTTCGAACAGAATATTAGTCTGGCAAGAAAACTCTAGGAAAGATAAACACTATTGCCTGATTCAAGAGTAGAATTGAGAGTTCCACAGCAATGTGATTTGATGGGTCTCTCAACAAATTTCTGATGACGTGTAGTCCAGGGGCAATAATGGAGAACCGAGCACTCTTTGAGACTCTTTGCACAATAAAGTGATTTTTCTTTTAATTTTCTGATTTTTTTTGTCTTGTATTTTCCAGTCCCCCAATCCAATCCCATACTGTGTCCCAGAGTGGGGGATCTAACTGCACTATTTTTATTAATATTATTGTTGTTGTTATTATTGCTCTTCTCAGAGACTGCCACATAAGAGATTTCATCTCCACTTGCTAGCACAATGGCATAGCAGGAGCGTAGCAGCTGATTCTTGCTTTGCTAAAAATGGTAATTTGCTTAAAGTGTGATAATGTTGGTGTCAATATAGTACGTTACAAATTGTGGATATCGTAACTTGTATACAGCATGTTGCCGCTAACATTTGCTTCCACAAAGTAACTATGTCCTTTCCTTTGGGAAAGTGAACATAAAATTGTTTGCAGTTAGGTTGCATTTTTTAAAAAAAACTCTAGTACTGTTTTTTTAAATTCTGTACTAGGACTAGTGCCACTTTTTACAAATTTCAGTGTGATAACGAGGAAATGGGAGAACATAGAATGTCTTTGAGCACTTAAAATGATAATCAGAGTTTCCATGCTGAGGATCCTGGCTTAACACTCAGCAAATCCTGTATTTTGCTTTATTCTCTTTTGGGTTGGGGCGGAGGGAAGGAAAGAGAATATTGACATTTTCAACACTGTTAACTAAGTAGGTTTTTCACAAGCAAGAATGCTGAAAATTTTCGTGTGGTATCAAAGGGATGAATGTGAATTATGAACTCGTATGTGACAGTCGTTGTCCACAAGGACTACTTAATAGGAGGCACTTTTAAAACTTTTATGCTTGTGAAAAAGTTAAAGGTATATGCAAGCTGACAAAATAATAAAAGAATAAGAAAGACTATAAGGGAATAAGAAGAAAAAAAACATTGTCCAGTGTTTTTGAAAAAGGTGGACTTTAAAGAATCTTGCAATTTGCACATCTTGAGTTTATCATTTGTGTGGTATTCTTGCAGTTTTTAATTTTTTAGGAAGGGAGAGGGGCTGAAAAAGCTTAAACAAATGTAGCAGTTATTTACTAACCTGCCTAATTTCTAGACCATTTTAATAGGGTTAGACTTTCTTTCAATTTCTTTTACTTTCTTTGTATCATATCTGTCACCCTGAACCAGAAAAGCTGAGAATTTCTCTTCAGATTTTCTGAGTTTTCCCATGAGTCATTTTGACACAGAAGCAATTTTTGTGTTTTGTTTTAATTCAGTTTAATTCTGTGTTTTATTGTAAAATTACTATTTCTTAACTCTCAATTACTTTTCTTCTGATTAATAGTATAATGTTAATGTCAAAATTTGTTACAACAGGATGATGGGTAAAAGTTTATCCAATTAAACTCTTTCAGTAGTTATATGACTGATCACAGAAATCTGAAGTAAATTCAAGGGTGGATCCAAAGGGTCTAAACTCCTGCTGATTTAGTGGCTTCCATCTTAAAACCAGATTCTGATTAATGGTCACATTAAAACCTATTTAATTATTCACAGATAAGTAATTGACTATATACCAGTCTGTGAAAAGAATCACTTAAACTATTAGCCTATTTTAAAGCTTAGATAATAAATACCGCATTAATTTCTGAAGTTTTAAAATCAGGATTTCCTGAAAGATGCTGTGGGCATTTTCACACACGAGACTAAATCTAAGTATCCATTGAATTTGTAATGTAACTCTATATGGACATGTTCTATCGGTGTTATTAAATATGTTTACATGTGATACAAATACTATGTGAGAACCTCAAAGAAGTCTAGTGTCTTGTGTGAAAATGGTACAAAAAAAATTTTTTTTTTGCATTAGTGCTGTATTCCAGCTTACCAGGGTTAGGTGGGTGATCATCAGTTATCTTCTTTCCCTACTTGCAATTTGACTTAGATAAAATTCAAAGAAAGAACAAGTAAGGTAGAAGGTGTGGTATACTGCATATATAAGCAGGCTGCTTACCCTGATCTCTTTTCTGTGATCATTTCACTTGCCCTAAGGTGGTCATTGTCTGCAAAATGAAATGGATTAAGCTAAAATAGAGAACTGGCATCTCCTGCTACAGAAGCACATGATAAATTGAGACCGTAGCTGAATTTAACAAATTTGTAGTTCAGTTTAGTTGCCCTGCAGGAGATTTTTTTTTTAATCTTTGACTCTGATGTCCTGCTGGTTGACATAACTCCATTGATATCAGGTTCTTATTTGGCAAGAATCTAAATTTTAGAAATCAAAACAGAACTTTAAATGAGCAATTTCTCCAAATGTTCATTTCCCTGCCCACTTGCCTAAATACTATACCTTTAAAAATTCCAGTGTAACCCTCTCTTTAATTGTGTTTCTTTGTTACTTGAACCTTAGCTCACACCAGAATGAATCATTTTTGTACCAGTTTTGAGGATGCACCAAAAATGTGCTTAAGTTTTAAAGTAGCTTGAAAATCTATCTTGAATTGTTATTATGACCTCCCAGTAATTCATTAGATCACTGGGCGGGTTCCTTCTCACAATCATATTGCTTTTTTTTTGTGCTGTAATTTTTTTTTTTCAACATTTCTGCTCAGAGAATTTGCTTAATCTTCCATAAACTCTGCTCAGGGCACTTTCAATTTATTGTTTATTGAAGTTTTATTTTGGCTTGTTTTTGTTTTGTTTTCGTTCTCACTTCAACCTCTGATAGCAAGAAGAACAGTAAGATATGAGGCAAAACTCCTATTTCATTCCTATCAGTACCACTATTTTCATCTGTCCTCAGAGAACATTTGCCTATAACAAAGCAGGGATTACAAAACTGACCACATCTCTAAAACTAACACTAACAAGTGAAACAAATAAACCAATATTAATAAATAGTTCAAGCAATAGGAATTTATTTGTTCTCTACTTGCATTAGAGACTTAGAACTTGCAATTGTTACTTCCGTCCAAACATGGCTTCCCGTTGCTGTGCTTTTTGCTTCTTTTTATAGTATGTGCAATATTTTATGTGCCAATTTAGATTCACCTAAAGGTGACAACAGACTTTCCTTTTGCCATCTTTTTTGGAGGGTTAAATGTAGGGTCTTATGCCTTCCTTTGAAAATAGTAGGGATAAAATCTGTCTGGATGTCAACAAGTTGCACAGCCTGGACCAGGGGCTTCTTACAGCTCCTATTATTCAGTGCCCTGCTGGGGGTGGGGCGGGGGGGGGAACCCAAGCAGAGAAAAAAACCGTCAGATGTCTGTCTCCCTCAAAGGTTGTTAGTGGAAAAGATAATATGAGCTAAGTCTCATTTTGTGAAGATGAATACTTATATGCAGTAATTCATTACTGCATATAGTAATGAAATATTGGGCATCCTTTGATGGGTGCAGTCTTCAATAGAGCATCATATTCTCTTTTTTGTTTATCGTGACTAATCTTCACTTAGATTGGAAATGTGGATAAATTCAATCTTGTGTAGGAAGAATGGCATCCCTTTGTCTTTCTGTGACTGATGAAAGCTTGTTCTTGGATTGTAGCTCTCTTTTGTGAGTTCATATAATTTTGCCCTTACACCAGGGGTAGTCAACCTTGGCTCTGTGCTGGCTCAGGAATTCTGGGAGTTGAAGTCCACAAGTCATAAAAGAGCCAAGGTTGACTACCCCTGCCTTAGACTATCTTATCTGACTTTCTTGGCTATGGAAACAAACTTATAAACTGGGGCTAGTGCTATGACCTTTTTTTTTTTTTTTGTTCTACATTTCCCAAATTCCAAAATTACTCAAGGCAAGTTCTAGACCTATTGATGTTTGCAGTGGAATTTGTGTTAGGTTCTTTTGTCCTCTTCATCAATGGGATTAAGATGTGAGCCTTGTGCTCCCAAGTGCCTTAGTTTCTCTTTTTAAAAGGCACCTAATTTCACATGAAAGATTTTAATGCCATGCTTGTTCCTGCAACTTGTCCTGTAAACTCCTGGTTCACAGTGTCGCTCCCTTTTCAATTTCTTTTAATTACTGAAATAGTGACATTGTAGAGGACATTTTAAGATTAATGTCATTGTAAAAGTCTGTACAGTATCCACATGGCAATATTAACTGACACCGTTTTTTCCTCCCCTTGTTTTGTTTTTGTATTAGACCTTCTTTAGTTTACAATGAAACTATACAATCACCAATAAAATTAGTTCAGGGCAAAGGAAAAAATACCAGAGCCTCTTTATAGGAATTTCTAAATAAATATATCTATATCTATATATCTATATCTATATATCTATATATAAAATGACTGTTCCTTATAGTGTTTAACTTAGGCATCATTTCAGTTTGTCTGGGCCACATGGTGGGGTTTCAGAATGTGATGTCACTTACCTCATATTCTGCATACAAATCTCAATTGTTAAAAAAAAATAAATCTCGGTCTTCTTTGTCCCCTACCCATTTCCTTTTCTTTCCTGGAAAAAAAAAAATGCATGCCTAATTCCTTGGCACCCCACACCCTCCATCTGATATTTTTCTACTGTTTGGGAGCTAGGAAGTGACATCACAGTTTGATTTCCCGCAATCAAGGAACATTTAGAAACCTTTCAAACCTCTTACTCAGGGATGGGGCTGGTGTATGGTGTGGTACACTGATGTGACCAGAAGGAGCACTTTTACTGCTCTGGAGTAGGGATGTTCAACTCCAAGGAGTTGTTTGGATTTCCTGCATGATTATGAACTAACGTTAAGGTTAATAGTCGTGTGCAGTATAAGCAACAGACCCAGTCAGAGCTGTGGCTTTAGGTGATAGAAAAGACATCCTATACACAGTGGCTTGTTTTACTTTGCTCTATTGCCAAGCCAGGGGGGAGGGGAGACCCACAACAGTGATAATTTTTAATTAAGAAATAAGAATGCTGTTTTAAAGGTATTTTGCGGTGCTTTGAATTTTTGACATGGGTTACTAAATATTTTTTTTTTAAAAAATGCCATATATATCCAGGCCCCCGTGTTGCTTTCTTCAGGATTCAGTCCTACAAGAAAATAGGCAGGATCCCAAATCTTTAAAGTGAAATGTATGCTTACCCCTTTGAAATCACAGATCTAACTATACCTAAAAGTACTAGTTTCAGCAGACCTATGCATTGATGGGTCATTTCAATGAATGCCTGGTTCATTGAAGGCCCACTTGTGTGTCAGAGCTCACTTTTTTTTTAATATGCCTGCTATTATGGATGATGCCACAGATTCGCATTAGATGACTTGGATAGACTTTCTGCTCGTTTGATCTCAGATTATACAGTGAAAATCGCTATAGATGGGATTAGTGATGGACTTAGCCATACCTATTCCACTAGCAATTGAGAAGGGAAAGAAAGCAGCTGATATGTGGCCCAAAGGCAGTGTTAACTAATAGTAAAGCAAGGTCTAAAGATAAGTTCCACAGTACCATCTGTTTGTACTAACAACGTGGCTTTGTGATATTGGTACTTAGAACTTCTTCAGAAGTAGCGTTCCACATCTGGAAGGGACCTTCTGTGAATGGACAGTATTTTATAGCTGTTATAGAAGCAGAAACATAAAGATGTCAACAGGCCCTACTTTATTATAGCCCCACACAAACACTTCTATTGATTATGCAAGTGAACTAATTTTTTCTGCTCCCAGTTCTTTGACCCAGTACCTTATATTTGATTAACTGCAATTAAGCATTTGTTCCCTTTTATCTCATCTCCTATGAAATGAACACTGTTAACAGCAATATGTGATTCCCCCCCCTGCCTTAGATTATTATGTATAGGTATTGTCCAATCAAGGGACAGACACAGTAATAGCATAAAAACAAAGGAATACCATTCCCTGTCTGTTTTTAAGCAGAATGTGGTTAATGTTTTGCTTTTTTTTAAATGTTTATTACTCTGAAGATTCCCGAAAAAGGGTAGTCCTCCAAATTGTAATTGTTGCTTTTGAGAGCACAAAAATATTTTGTTGATTTCCTTTGTAGATTCTGAGAGCAGTATTGCGTTTTTCTGTTGATGGGGAAATTCCAAACAAGTTGCACACTTCTACTCCAGAGTTCACTTTCTTTTACATAGATGACCTCGCTTCTGATGTGTTACCTTACTGATAGGATCTTTACTTGTAGCAGTATAACTGGTGGGAATATTTTTTTATGTGAACCTAATTTGATGAGAAGGTTAAAACAAACTTTTTTGAAGCACTCACATTGAGAGGAGTACAGGTAATGTTTTTTAAAAAATTGCACAAAAGAAACGAATGTTTGGAATGATTCATTCAGTATTTGAAAAGCGATGGATATGTTGAAAATCGTGTGTTGTTTGTAAAAATTAAATAAACCTACAAAAGTCGAGAAAGGGTGAAAGTTACATTTTTTTGTATATAGAAGACTCTCATGGATGATCCGATTGGTTCTGGCAGGAAAGAATGCCTAATTAACAGGTTTTTCAAAGACAGTATACCTAGGTTTGCATTTTCATTATATGAATTGCATTATTGGGGCAGGGGAGAATGGTCACCTTTAACAGCATTTGAGGGCTGTTTGTCCCTCTTTAATTTAGTTAAAGTTGATTGGGATGTCATGACATCTTCTAAGGATGATTTTGGTTTTGCACTTCCTGTACTTAAAAAAAAAAAAAAAAAACCCAAAGAAATTTCAGAGTGGACAAGAAGTGTTTGTTACAAGGGATTCTCAAAGTGAATAAAGAAGTGAGGGAGATCATATTGTCTCCTCTAATTCCCCTCTTCCCCAAACCCATATATACACATGTACACCTCTCTTTTTATGCCTGGAACTGTTAAAGACAATGTTAGTTATTCTAGCAGTTGTACAGAGAGTTTGTATTATTTTTCATTTGGTTCTGGGAATGTTTATTACTGGCACACCAAAAATGAAGGGAATCTAGGAAAACTAGTACTTCTGAGAAAGAGGTCCAAAATGTACTTACAAAAGCAAGCCTTTAAAATGGGGATGGGGGATGGCTGATTGTTTTCTGAATCCTTCTCTCCTTGTGCCATGCAGTCTCTAGAGATAATTTTTGATTCCAATTCTGTTATTCAATATAGAAGGGATATAACTTCTGTATTAATATGAACCCTTCAGGTGCAGTGGGATGGCCTCTCATACCAATCAAATGAAGTACTTTTAGTGAATGACTAGTGTTTCTATAATAGGGATTGCAAAAATTAAGTTTATTCTCACTGTTATTGCAAAGGACTTGAGTCTTCCATGAAAATTGATCTGAGGCTTCATTAAAGTTGCTTTTGTTTGTTCATTTACTTTCACTTGATCAAAGCTTTGGTTCCCTTTTCTTCAGCCAACCAATAGGCAGCACTGGATGTATCTTCTGCAATAGATTTAACTTGCTGGTGCTGGAACTGCTTATAATAAGTCTACTGGAAGTCAGCTTCATTGAGGCCAGGAATGTGACATTATCAAAGTTCAGATTACAGGGATTTGCAATTTACAAAGATCTTGCCTTGACAACACTTTTGTATGCAACAGCAGCTTATGAATTCTTGAGAACATTAAACACCATACAGAATCACTCTTTAAAAGTATTCTATTTAATTTTAAATCTGTATTCAAAACTAGCAGTGGCAGACATAGATATACCAGCCAAAAAAGGGGGGCACCAGGAGAGTCTTCTGAAAATTACCGATGTGTACTTTTCCTCTTGCAATTAATCTCTTTGTAACTGAAGTTACAGTTTAATTTTAGACTTTTCCAGTTGAGAGATAAAGAATGAACGCAGTAAATGCAGCCATTTACTGCCCAAAGAAATGCAAATGTAACATACATTGAGGCTCTGTGATTGGTGGTAGAAGTTAAATTTTGAATTTTTTTTACATATTTTTTTTAACAATAATTGTTTGAGTAAATTCAAATTGCCAATTTTCTGCATCTGTTTAACCCCAGGGAATAGGCCTCAAGTACTTGAAATGCCTCAAAGTGTTGGGTATAAATATGCTATTAGCCGATTGATAATTTCCCTCATGTTTTTACTGTATCTCAGGATTTTTGCCTCTCATGACTCTGTGAAGATGTACAGCTTTATTTTGACTGGTCTTTTTGTTAGGGCAAAAAAAAAAAAAGATAAAGCATGACATCAGAAAGCACCTTTCTATGTCTTTCATTTAAATAATTAAGCTGAATAGACAAATTTCAGTTGCCTACTTGCAGTTTTTGGTAGCGTTTTATCAGTGGTTTGAGCATCCAGCAAACTCTCAATGAATGTTTCCCAAATCAATACATAGTTTGTTTCTTTTAAATGACTACAAAATACACTTTCATTGTCCTGCCAGATGTTGGCCTAGAGAAAGGGGTACCATAGCTTTATGCTGAGGTCATATTGGGCTGACATGGCCAGTACAAAGGAGAAATAGGGAGGGAACGTTTTGCACCTTATAGAATGAAAAGAGAATTGCATACCGACATAGGTAAGAGCTTTTATTGTGACAAGAACTTTTTCCATATGCGTGCATACTCTCTGTAATTCCAGTGTAAAATATTGTACTTGCACTAGCTTTTTTTAAAACAAATATTAAAAAAAATGGAAGAATTCATATTCTATTTTCTAATCGTGGTGTGTCTATTTGTAGGATACACTCGCGTCTGTTTATTGAATTTTATGGTCCCTTTCTTTGATGGTGCTTGCAGGTTTTCTAGGTAGAAATTATTTCATTATAATAATAAAACAATGTTTGATTCAAAATTTGAACAAAATTGTTTTAAAGAAATTGTCTGTATACCAGTACAAGTTTATTGTTTCAGTATACTCGTACTAATAAAATAACAGTGCCAATTGCAAATTAGTGTTCTTTGTAGTGTTTAAATAAGAGGTTGGTAGTAGTTCCTCTTTGAAAGAGCAATTTTTTTTCACATGAATGTTTTCCTGAGGATTTACTTTATGACAAGCTTTGTTCACCATAATAAATGCACATTTTCTGAACTTTCTGAAATAATATACAAGCACTCATTTGCACTATCAAGTTTGCCTCCTACTATCAGCTTATCCAAGTAACTTAACAGTGCAGCTTATATTATGCTCTAAATATACTTAGCAAAGTTTCATAGTTTTAGCTTTGTATTTATCCCTCTTTACAAATCACATTAAATAGTTGACGTGGAAGCATTTTATTCAGTGGCTTGACTCTAGCATTTTCAAGCTATATCGTGAAAATCTGTTATGCTGAACATGAAGAAAACTTTGGAAGTCAGGAAAAAAAATGACCATTGTTTTTAGGGCGTTTATCGCAAATAAATTCCAAAACTCAGAATTCCAAGGTTTGAGCTGAAGTGGTTGCAGTTATCTCCTTTCGTGTAGTGCAGATACTCCAGTACAGGTAGTCCTCATTTAATGATCCTAACTGGGATGAGCAATTCTGTCACGGTTGTTAAGTGAAACCTGAATGTGCCAATTTATGACAACAATTCCAGCAGTCTCAGTTGCAGCAGTGAAGCAAATTATCCATGATCATTAAGATGTCACATAACCCTGACTTGTGAGCCACTGCTGGCTTCTCCATTGACTTTGCTTGTCAGAAGCTGACTGGGAAGGTTTCAAATGGCAGTCACATGGCCATGGGGATGCTGCAATCATCATTAAGCATAAGGACTAATTGTGAAGTCACTTTTTTCAGCACCATGGTGACTTCAGACAGTTTCTGTACTTCCTGTACTCAGAAACTGAGGCCAGATGGTCCAAGGAGGAAAAATGTCCCACTTAAACTACCAATATAACCCTTCTATCTATGTCAGTGGTTCTCAACCTTTCTAATGCCGTGACCCCATAATACAGTTCCCCATGTTGTGGTGAGCCCCAACCACTTATACATCACGGGTGCCAGGGGCGTGGCCAAAGAAAAGGGGGAAAAATGGCGGACAGCCTTGTTTGGCAACCCCCGTGAAATGGTTGTTCGACCCCAAATGGGGTCCCAACCCACAGGTTGAGAACCACTGATCTATGTGAACCCGTCTATCTGTGGCTGGTGCTAAGAACTGGCCTATGGCAAATATTGTTTATTACAGCTAACCCTCTTCTGTCATTTACTGAGCATCTAAGAGCCACAATTATAAAAGATCTCAAACTTATAATGTATTATAACAATTAGAGTTGACCCTATTAAATAGCCTGACTAAAAAGTTCTGTTTCCAAAGCCTTGCTCAAGGTCAGCAATCTCATTAATCCCAGGCTTGACTCACAATCAGGATCTGTTAAAACTGTGGCAAATACAGGGTTTCCAGGGCTCATCTTTGTATGGAAGGATTGTAAAGTGACAAGACATTTGCTTAGATAACCTAGACTTAAATCACTTACTAATTCACAGGTAGTCACCATCATTTTTTATTTTGCCTGGAAATAAATAAGTAGCCAATGTAATAATTTTAATTTTAGCATAATAGGGCTTTCTGAGTCTTGTTTTGTATCATGGAACTGCCCTGTATCCAATTCAAGCTTCTCATTCTTGTGTGCCAGTGCGAGCTGTCGTTTCTGACATTACAATTCCATGTTGCATTTTAAAAATGTATCTGGACATTTCAGATGCAGCTGCATTTGTGTTATTTTGGGACATGCAAGCTGCGTCCTCTATTTGCATGGATTCTCCTGGATTTTGTTTTTTGTTTTGATTTTGGTAGGGGAAAGGGCTACGTACCTACCTACAATGGAGTAAGTAGGCACATTTAACAGGAAAACTGATTTTAAAATGCCATTCAGTAATCATATCTCTGAAAGATGTTTAGCTACCTGGGAGGTAAATATATTTTTCATTTCTCTTGTATGGTGCGTCTGTACCTAAAAAGACACCATAGATAAATGATGGAATCAACATAGACAGATGTTATAATTCTAATGTAGAAAAAAAGTAAAGAATTTTAAAAATATTTCTACATGCTACATAAATCAGCCCAAAGGAAAAGAACAGTTATTTATAGTATGGCTTTATGTATCATTCGTCTAGAAGCAATCAGTGACTGGTTTTGTTATTTGTTTCACTGTAAACGTGTCAAGTTACCAGATATGGGCTGCAAAAATTGAGACAACCACTAGGTGGCAGAAAAAAGATTTCAAAACTTCCAAATCTGGCGTCACAAACATATACCTTACTCTTTAATTACCAATTACTCAAATTTTACTTGGACTTTGAAAATAAAACAATGCTATAGTAAGAAACTATACGGTAATTGAAAAAATAAGGAACTTTACTTGCAGTAAACCTACATTGCAGATATGCAGCTTCACGAGTGTTACAGTGAATCTCCTCTGCATATCATTTATCAAGTTTCACATAAAAACTGCCTCCTAAAATTATGAAACAATTGTTACATAATGAATTGGTTGTGCGTATTACAATAGTGATATGGAAAACGAGATCTAGATCTTGCACAACCAAAACATGTCTCTGCTATTTATTAACTTAGCATGTCTTTTTTTCAAGCTCTATGCTCTGCACAGTAGGGTCAGGTGTGGAACTGCAGTACCTTCTCTGTCTTTTCCCAAAGTCATTGGAGAAAAAAAAATAGTTAATCATCATTAGCTTATCTCTTTCATCTTTAAAACGGAGATGAATGAACAAGGGAGCATCTCCATTTGCAATGAAGGAACAAGGGAGCATCTCCTAACAAAGCACTACAATAAAGGGAGTGTAACTATTTGATCAACCATTTTAAGAACTTTATAATAATCAGCACACGTTAAAAACTGAACACTTGATGCCTCTGTAAAAATAAGACAGTTTTTTTTTTTTAATTCTGTAAGTGCTATTCCAAGGTGGCATGCTGGAGCAGTATCCATGCAGTGAGGGCTTTCTGGGCTTCACAGTTATTTTCCTGTTCTTCTGACTTTCACCACACATTGCAGGAGCAGTTGAAACGTTAAATATAAAATCCCGAATGGCTTTGCTTTTTTTAGTAATGGCAGATCCAAGGGACAAATACTTTATGAATGGACATCTAAGTCCCTCTGATCAGTTGTTCTGAAAGCTCGATCTAGATTTCTTACTTAAATAGACAAGGATATAAAAAGAAGACCACTGAACAATTCTGGACAAAACCATAACCATGGACCCAGAAGCGGTTTATGGCTTGTTCTCACTAGGCCCGACTCCAACCACTACTACAACAATCAATGGTATTAAGCAACCTGCTTCTTTCCTAATTGGGAATATAATCACCTCCCCATCCTGCAAAATAAATAAAAGAAGTGGAGGAGAAACAGAACATAGCAAATTTCACATCTCCAAAGGCCCGGGGTTTTCTTCTTTGGCTAAGAAAATATTGTGTTGTGCTGCTGAGTTACCCGAATAAAGGTTGCCCTTCGACTAAGCTCTTTGAGTTTGGCAGCTCCCACGTAGGTACAAGCAGAACGGAGACCACCCAGGATGTCACGGATGGTATTTTCTACATCTCCTTTGTAGGGTACTTCCACCGTTTTGCCCTCTGAAGCTCTGAAAAGGAAAATAATTTCACTTGCATTGGTGGGCTACCTATTCTGCTATTAAAAGTATTAAAATGTACTATTAAAATATGGAGCCATGGTGATGCAGCGGTTAAAGTGCAGTAATGCAGGCAAACTCTGCCCACGGTCTGGAGTTCGATCCTGATGGGGTTCAAGGTTGATTTAGCCTTTCATCCTTCCGAAGCTGATAGTTTGTTGGGAGCAATGTGTTGACATTGTACATTTACACCCAGAGAGGACTGTAAAGCACCATGGGGTGGTATATAAGCCCAAATGCTACTGCTATTTCCCAACAGTGCCTCTTTTATCCAAACAAAGATATATTTGCTTGTATTCCAATCTGAAATAAATCCATCTGGAAAGTAACCAAAGACATTCTTCACTGTGTTTACTATTCATCTAGATAGCATGTGTATGTGTGTTTGTATGAGGGTATTATTAATCAAAGAGAATTAGCACCCATTTACTTCTTATGAAAATCCTCACAATATACTTGTAAGCATATTTTAACCCTTCGAAGATGCTGTTTCATTGTTCAAATATAAGAATCATTTACATATTAATTGATTAGAGAAATGTGTATATCTCCCAAATGTTAATGTTAATTTGCCCCAAATCAACAGATGCCTGCCAGTGGTTTCATATACATCTTAAATAACAGGAGAAAGTCCTACAGTACCTCAATCTTGAGTAGCCATGAACGTAAGTGCTCCTGCCCCACTATTACCTATGGTAATTACCTGCCCACTCTAGAACCACTAAGCCCAATGAAATCACTCCAACTTTGTTTTAGATTGTGACTACCATAGTCCATGTTGTCAGAATCTAATTTTCAGATATCAGGAGAAAAGGTGTGATGACCTTATCAGTAAACTTCCAACTGGTGGCTAAGTGTGACTGCGCTTCTGCAACTAGCCAAGCATTTGGCATCTGCCAGTGTCTGGGTGATGCTGGGAGTAGTAGCAAATAAATCAAGTCAACCATATGGTTGACGTTCCACCCCTTTTTTTAACCTACATTATGCCAGACATATAAAAGGGACGGGACTTCGATCATGTAATGGCCGTCATCTTAACCTCCTCCAACAATAAAATCTTGTCTGTTTTATTATTTGATTTGATTAGTAAAGACAACCCTTTCAGAAGGAAAGAAGGGAATAAATACTCTGTAAAAACATAGTTAAGCAACAAAATCAACTCTCATCAACATATAAGCCTGGTGACATGCTCTTGTCACAGAACAAGCTCATCTAACATCCTGGCCCAGTGTATGGGAGAAAAGCCAGGTCTTTAGAGCTGTATGGACAACCAGTGGAGTCAGGGCCACTCAAATGTCAAGGGAAGCTTATTTCGAAAGATAGGCTCAGGCACAGAAAAGGCCCATTTCCTAAAGTCATCTTGCTTCAAAGAAGGGACTTGGACCATGCCCAAGCTGAGTGATCTCAGGGAGAGGAAAGGCAACAGGAGAATGGCAGTCCTGCAAGAAACCTGCTCCTGTGCCGTGCAAGACTTGATAGATGATAACCAGCATCTTGAACTTGGGCGTCTACTAAATTCTGCATTCAGCAACATGCATTATTATCCACACCACTGCATTCTGGACCAGCTACCGCCCCACATGGAGCACACACTGCAGAGGGCTGCAATTCTGTTGGCTGCCAATACCATGTTAACAACACCAGAGTTTCAAGAAGTGGCCTTGCATATTATGCTGGAAAGGGAGCGGTACCTGTAATCTGCAACACCACCTGCGTGCTTCTTCATAGCAGTGTCAGAGCTCATTCCATAGAAAAGCTTCACTTTTTTACCATTTTTTTCTACAATATCTCCAGCACTTTGGTCATGTCCTGCAAACATGCCCCCCAGCATCACAAAATCAGCACCAGCTCCTGTGAGTGGCACAAAGGAAAAATATGAGGGGCTAAACCAAAACAAAATAGCATTTATAGTATTTAAATACAGGGTTGCATTAATCATTGCAATCTCCTTTTCAATTCCAGTATTATGTATACAGGTACTCCTTGACTTGCAACCACAAGTCAACCCAAAATTTCTGTTGCTTAGCAAGACAGTTGTTAAGCGAGTTCCACCCCATTTTATGGCTTTTCTTGCTCTGATTGTTAAGTGAATTGTTGCAGCTGCAAAGTTAGCAACCTGGTTGTTAAGTAAATCTGACTTCCCCGCTGACTTTGCTTGCTGGAAAGTCACAAAAGCTGATCACATGATCCCTGTGATCCCTGTCACATGACACTGCAATGGTCATAAATATGAACCAGTTGCCAAGCATCTGAATTTTGATCACGTGACCATGGGGATGCTTACGCAACAGTTGTAAGTGTGAAAAACGGTCATAAGTTACTTTTTTCAGTACCATTGTAACATCAAACTGTCAATAAACAAATGGTTGTAAGTCAAGGGTTTCCTGTAGTAGATTCATCTTAATGCATTTCCTATATTTCGGCAACAGACAGTACTCACCAAAAGCTTTGGCCACATCTCCTGGACAGCTGCATCCTCCATCCTGAATAAAGGATGGAGAAAAGAGAAGAAGTCAGTGCATTCAATTTCATTTGTTACTATAACACTGACAATTTTAGCTGGTGGTTAGAAGAAGGACCCAGCCTAAGCATTTATAGAAATGAGAACAAGAAAGTGACTGCATCAACCTTTTTTTCGTAAAAGGTTTAATTTCAATGCATTAAGCACATTATGAGAGCATAGTGGTTAAGGCCTCAGGCCTGAAAGCCAGCTGGCTGACCCTTGGGCCAGTCATGCGCACCAGGAGTCAACACTCACTTGAAAACAATCCTAAAAAAAAAATATTGCAGATTAAAATTCCATTTACTATTTGGTCTGACTTCAAAGGATTTGGCAGACTAGAATGCAGATTTTTTAAAGAGTACCGGAAACAGGATTTAGGCATAATTTTACTCCCAATCATTAATGAGATATATTTGTCCACACAAGCAGTCATTAGCATTACTATTGTGGATATGGATATATTTTTTTCAGAAAAAAAGGACACTGAAGATGCCCACCTTTACCCATTTAATCTCACTAAAATAAAGGAGATTGGCAGACACTGATGGAGAGGTTTTTTTTTATTGAAAATTTTTAAAATTTTTACAAGAAGAAAAACAACCCTCCCCAACCCACCCCAACCCTCCCATTCCCTCCCTCAGCCTTCCCAGAGCTGAATATAGGCTTAATTAAAGTTTCTTGAATTCTTAGAAAAAAAGTATAAACCATAGATAAGTCTAAATACATTACTTAAACAACTAATAAAATAATTAACAATAATATATATATATATATATATAAAAAACATAAATATTAAAGAAAGGAAAAAAATACTTAAAAAGAAAAAAAATAAAGAGAAAGAAAGAAGAAAGGAAATATAAAAAAATAAAATAATAAAAAATATAAAGAGAAAGGAAAAATAATACAATCTATAAAATATTAAAATTTATATATGAGTTATTGAAAAACTAAATATTTTTTATATCCAACTTTTGTATAAAATCTACCCATTTTTCCCATACCACAAAAAACTTCTCTTGCAATTGATCCTTTAAAAAAGCCGAAATCTTTGCCATTTCCGCTAGATAGGATACTTTAGAAAACCACTCTTGCAAAGTAGGCAAAGATTCCTTCTTCCAATATTGCCCTACTAACAACCTTGCGGCTGTAATTAAATTTAACATCAATACAACCTCCTTAATATCACAATCAGTAACAATACCTAGCAAAAACAATTGTGGGGTAAATTTTACCCTCCTTCTAAAAATTCTTTGAATATTCCACCATATCTTAATCCAAAAGGCTTTTATATTTTTACACAACCACCAAATATGGTAATAAGTAGCGTCCAGACAACCACATCTCCAACATTTGGGCTGTAAGTCAGGATACATACGAGACATTTTTTGTGGGTCAAGGTGCCATCTATAAAACATTTTATAAAAGTTCTCCCTTAAGTTCTGGGCTTGTGTAAATTTAACATTTCTCACCCAAATAGTTTCCCAGGTATCTAGTAGAACCGGTTCACCAAAATTTTGTGCCCATTTAATCATACATTCTTTAATTAATTCTGGTTCTGAGTCCAATTCTACTAGCAACCCATAAATTCTCTTAATATGAGTTCGTCTTTGATCTTTTACTTGTTTAACAAAATTTTCATCTTCTTTAAGCAAGCCCACATTACGATCTATCTTCCATCTGTCCGCTATTTGTCTGTACTGAAACCATGAATATATAATATTTTCTTGTGCTAAATCTTCCAAAGATTTTAACTGCCAAATTTTACCATCCCATCTAAGCAATTGTGCATAAGAAACACTATCCATCTTGACTCCTCTCCTTATCCCCTCTATCGCATGCCAAGGTATAGCCCATAATGGTATTTTAGAATCACTTCTGTGATATTTCCTCCAAACCCGCAGTAAAGAAATCCTTATAATATGAGATTTAAAAACCCGGTCAACTTTTTAATTAAAAATTAAATAGGCATGCCATCCAAAAAGTAAATCCCAACCCTCCAAGAGGAGTATTTCTACATTTGTTAAATTAACCCAATCACTAATTAATGTTAAGACCACAGCATCATAATACAATTTCAAATTCGGTACCTTGAGTCCACCTCTCTCACGAATGTCTTGTATAATTTTAAGCTTTACTCTTGGTTTTTTCCCTGCCCAAATAAATTTATTGATACCTTTCTGCCATTCATTTAAATTGACCTCATTCTTTAAAATAGGTATCATTTGAAATAAGAAAAGGAACTTAGGCAGGACATTCATTTTAATCGCCACAATTCTTTCCACTGATGGAGAGTTTTATATGTCCTGGTATTTTTTGAAAATGTACTCGCTTTTCAAGGGCACTTCCAGAATATCCATGGACTGACTGGTGAGCTGTTTTTCTTGATTTATTTTGTTGTATTCTATAAGTCTGATGTTCTCACTTCTCTGTATAAATTAGGAAATGAAGGATGTACTTAAGCATCCATTCCACCCTTCAGAATGGGCAGAAAGGTATTAAATACATAGCTTTTAAAAAAATATCTTTGATTACAAAACTGATATAAAACATTGCAAAGTACACTGAAAACATTCACAGATAGGTGAGATGGGAGTGCCTATCTATCCTTTCCTTCAACCCACTTTGCACCAAGTGTGAATATTTTGTTACTAAACATATGCACTGAACAATAATGCACTCTTCATGGGATTGTTCTGTAGACCACTTTGTTGGTGCAACTGGCACAAACCGAGGATGAGCTACTGGTTTTCTCTATATGCCAGAATCAATTATAATTAGTGTACAGGTAGTCCTCAACTTATGAGTTCAAAATTCCTGTTGCTAAGCAAGACAGTTGTTAAGTGAGTTGCTGTTCTGTCCCAGCCTACGTGAGTCCTTGTTAAGCTCACAAGGAGAAACCCCTCTTCCAACAAGCAGGCTGAAACCGCAGGAAAAAAACCAATCCCCTTTTATTATTCATAGACCTGAGTTAATGTCCAAGGCAAACATTGCCTTTGGCAACCAGCACCTCCCATACCTTCCCTTTTATTATGCAGCCAAGGCGTGGCTTCCTAATGCCTTCTCCTTTGCCTTTGCCCCATTGCATTCCTTTGTCCTACTCTCTTTTCTTGCCGGGTTTATGTGCATCCTGGATAGCTCCCAGCTGTGAGTCATCACTGTCCAACTCAGACTCCCAGCACAGCGCAAGTAGAGGGGCCAGGCTCCTAGTCAGACTGTAAGTCTTGGAGCTCCTCAGAGCCTTCCTCTGACTCTGACGTCACTCCAGGCCCCTCCTCCTCCTCTGATTCCTCAGACTCAGCTGCCGGGTCCACTGGCTGGCGAGGAATCACAACAATTGCACCCCATTTTACAACCTTTTTTGCCAGAGTGGTTAGGCGAATTACTGCATTAAGCAAATCATGCAGTTGTTAAATGAATCTAGTTTCCCTTATTGACTTTGCTTATCAGAAGCTAGCTGGGAACCGTACAAATGGTGATCACATGATCCCAGGACACTGCAACTATCAAAAATATATGCCAGTTGCCAAGGGCCTGAATTTTGATCCCATGACCATGGGAATGCTGCAACCATCCTAAGTGTGAAAGCCAGTCATAAGTCACTTTTTTCAGTGTCTTTGTAACCTCAAAGTGTCACCAAACGAATGGTTGTCAAGTCAATGACTACCTGTGGTTTTTCTAAATACAATATAAGAGAAACAGATATTTGAAAACTTCTAAAATCTTCATGATCAGATTCATGTCTTTGACCTGGAAAGTGGACTTTTAAGGTTATTAAATAAAATAACAAATAGAAAAGTTCATTTAAAAAAAAATCCAAGAAAAATCTCCCTCAATTACTACTTATTGGGACTTTGCTTCTGGATTCATTGTTTTTTCATTTAATGGGATTCAACATAGATCCTACTTACAGAAATGATATGTCCTTGCAGTCCATGAGCGGAATCTGCACATTCAATTACTGCGCTGAGCTGAGGATAGCCAACCCCAGTTTTTATCCGAGTAGTGCACACAGAACCTGGGCGTGAAGAACAGACAAAATATGACATCACAGTATCTTGCGATTTAGATGAAAAGTAGCCCCGATCTCTTCAGATAGCTGAATCTCTCTGGAAGCCTTTTCACATATAAGACATATAATAAAATCATGTGCATGGGACAGAACGAGAGAGCTATTTACTGTAAGAAAGGACACACATCCACAAGAGCCAAAATAATATTTGATAGGATCCATAAAGACTAAAAGATAATAGCAGATTGTTGGGGGCAATGTAAATATATATATACATTGCTTACTGGTGTACACCGCTTAGAGAGTGCTTGCACTTAAAGCGATATATAAGTCTCATAAATAAATAAATAAATAAATAAATAGAACCAGTAAATATCCCTTTTCTCTTCTTTACTCCTTTCTTTACATGAAACAGGACCAGAGAGCCTTGGAGGCAACAGATCCAAACCTCCACTCGGCTAGAAAATCCACATCAACATTGACATCAATTATTGGTTCCCCACAAAAGCATGCTTCTCTCGGGGGGGGGGAGATGTATCTCTACCCCCCCCATAAATCCAAACTTCACATCACTGAATTTTGATGGCAAGCAGCCAAATTTCAGTGGCATATTTTGATTGCTTTTCATAGTCAATGTGTTACTTGAGCTTTTAGTATTGTGATTTTGAATGCATTTTTGCATGTCTCTGGAGAGGATTGAGTCTGACTTTGTCTTTCAGCTTCTTTTTTAGCAATCCCCTCATTTTAGAATAGTTTTCCCTTTTCAAGTCAAATCTGTCATTTGGCAATGAACCAAATACATCTGCGTTAAGGGCTTTGTTGCCACTTTCAACACTGTGTCTTCAAAAAAAAACCTGGATACTACTTCCTTTTGGGTCAGTTCCATGCCTAACTATTCTAGGACACAAATACTTAGGGTATTTAGATTTTATTTTCTCCATATCATTACAAGATGTATATTTTCTCAGACTATGTCGTGACAGCTTTGCTCATTTTTTTCCAAAGATGTTGCAAAATACGTAAATACTCATCATTTCCCTTTGGCGGGAAATGTTACACAAAGCACAAAAATGGAAACTGTAAGCCAAAGGAATTAAAGGCATAAGATAAGGAAATGTGATTAAAGTGAAGTGTTTACAGCAACATTTTTCACTCTACCTTTTTATATTTGCAAACCAGCCTGCCAACTTGTCCAGTCACACACCAAATCAGACTCTACTTTTTTGTTCTTTTGTTATTTATTCATTACTGTATATATGTAGTAAGGATGCAAAGAAAATACTCCTGACATAAATGTGTAAGCAATGTTGCATATACCCTGCAGCATAATCCTGTGATCCGCATATCTGTCTTCATTCACATATCCTTCTTCCCAGCTTACCTGGTCCAATTCCTACTTTAATAATGTCTGCTCCAGACAGAAGAAGTTCTTCCACCATCTCTCCCGTTACTACGTTGCCTGCCTGAAATAGAGCCAAAATCATTGCAAATAATGAATAGATCCACAGTGACTGCAGTAGTAAAACAAATGTAGTTACCTCTCTTCCTTCCTTCTATCCTTCCATTTTTAACCTGCCTTCCAATCTGGGAAGATTACATATACCAGTGATGGCGAACCTTTTAGAGACTGAGTGCCCAAGCTGCAATCCAAACCCCACTTATGCATCGTTGAGTGCCGGGAGGGTGTGGCCATTGGCTGGGCGTGGCTGCAGTGGTAACAGCAGACTGGGTGGGACTAAAAAGTTCAATCAATCAATTCCAACTTTGCAAGATCTTTTTTTTCCCCGCAAGTTGAAATTGACTGACCGAACCTATTTTTTTTTTTGCACATGGCGGCGGAGACCTAAAGTGAAAAGGTTTTATAAAAACCAGTGAAGGCCTAGGACGGAGACGACAGCATGCGTGCCCACAGAGAGGGCTCTGAGTGTGCCTCTGGCACCTGTGCCATAGGTTCGCCACCACTGACATATACAGTGCATTCTCACTTGTAGTCAGAAAATTGCCTTATTTTCAAAACCACGATTTCTTTTAAAATGGCAGTGTCGTTATCCAATGCCCTGTTCAGCAATCAGTATCATCCTGACTGATTTACACCCTAAATTCTCATGTGACATATCTACTTTCTATCCTGTAAAAACAAATACTTCTATTAAAATAGATGGATTCTTTGCTCTGGCATTAAGTGGACCTTATAATTCCTATGCCAGATCATTCTAGTAAGTTAAGTATCCCTCATTCTCCTAGTATCTCTTATCTGCATTTCTTTAAAATGTTGAAAAAGGGAACATCATCATAGCCATAACCCTGTATGTAGCAAATACAAACATTTCTTATAATCTGTTTTGTACAATCAACAATTTTATCTAATAGAATGGAGAGCTTGCTTAATATGGTTAAGAAAGATTTATATCAGAAGAGAAACATCAAGGCAAAAACATGCCCTTTCTGACTGAATTATTCAATGCGATGAAACTGCCATTTACCAGAAAAACATCTTCTCACCGATAACAATGCTAAAAACACACATAAAAGAAAAGCACTTTGCTTCAACAATTGATTTGCTCTGGATGAACTTCTTCAGAAAATTGCTCCCAATTACAAAACAGGTAATATTACTTTCTATTAGCATTTAGTTACGAAGTAATTGTCCACCGCTTTATATAATTTTGTCTCTATTTATGCATGAATTTTTTTTGTTTTTTTAAAATTTATTTATTTTTAACTCATCCATCCTCCCAGAAGCTCAGGATGCTGTATACCTAATAATAATGTTGTTACTCATTGGTATTTGAGAAAGCACTGACCATACCTCTGTGCTGTTACTACTTCTGAATGTTTTTAACAAGCATACAATGCATGAAGCAAAATTGTTTCAAAATATATTGTATGTATTTATATAAAAAAAAATCCTGTGTGATACAGAGTCAAGTTGAAGATCCCAGGTTCAAATCCTTAGTTCATTCCAAATCTTATTAATGATATAATTGGCATTACAATTTAACACATGATCTCATTAACAAACACGCCAATCTTTGTGTTGTGCTTAGATCTCTATCCAAACTTATCCCGTAAGTCCTAAATGTTTTTCTATCCTTTTAAATAAAAAGAGGCAAGACCACAAATATAATATTGTGTGTTACTGGTTATTCTTTTATTGCACACAATTAAGGTTGTTGTAGATTGGACAGTCTTATGTGTTTTAAATAAATAAACAAAACTAAAGATGTGATTGTTACTAAAACTCTTATATATGTGCAAGCATGCAAAGACTACTAGGGAAAGAAGTCCAAATGGACCTTTTGGTGGCATTCATTCATCCATTTGTGAGGTAACTCAAAAGCAAAATGAATCAGAAGTAATAAGATTGACTCTTCTTCCTGCTGTAGAAATGTCTACCAGAATCAATTAGTGACAATTTTTCCCTTGTTCTAAATACAAATGGAGACATTTCTTGGTGCAAGGAACACTGATATTTAAGCTGTATCTTAAAATGAGCCATGATCACACACCAGATTTCTGCCCGCTGCCCACTATTCAAACAAGTAGACCATGGTCTACATCAGGATTTATCATGCTGCCGAAAATGTTAGCTTTTTTAAAAAAAATCTTGGAATCCCTGATCAAAAGACAAAGCATTAGTGATAGAAAATTGACTTGGGATTTTGCTCTCTTTTTTTAGTCTCTCACAGTAACACGTCAATTTCTTGGGAACAGTTTGAAACCCTGCTCTAGAGTTAATTTTCCTGCTTTCTAATACAATCACGTCAGAATGGGAAGCTAATTCCACAGAAGAGGACAGAAGGTGGTTTACAATGCCCATTTCTGTTCCATCCCAAAATGAAAAAATGTTGGCTTCTTGAAATCCTGCAAATCTTGCAGAACTTTATCAATATCTTGTGAAAGTGTTGGGAGACTCTCTTTTTCTCTCTCTCTTGCGTAACATTTTCTAAAGTGTACTGGAGTGGAATGGAGCAGCCTGAATCATCTTACAAAAATATGCTGCCAAGACAGCAATAAAGAGCACTCCATCCCATGGCAGAGAAATTCAAAATCAATCAAACCATTCATCAGTTCTGTTCAATGTTGCCTATATTCACTGGCTGCAAGTTTTCACACAGGAGTCTATACAGATTAAACCGCAATTTTTTTTTTTCACATACTAAATTCATGATTTATTATTTGTGGTCCCTTCTTGTTAAGACACAGGACATTTGCTGGAATAAAGGAACTCTTTTGCCAAATTACAGGCCTATCCATCTCTCAACTTCTCCAACCCCTACCATAATAGTGTGCTTTGGGAACCGGACATGAACAGCTTTCACAAATTCCACAAAGTGTTCTGAGTAACCATTGGCCACATCCAGGCAGATGTACTTGACAAGGGGGATGGCCTCGATGATGTTTATCAGCTTCTCGAAATCAGCCAGCCCACTGCCTGAGCTCACTGCTATGTGCTGCAAAAAGAAGATGAAAACAATTAAGTTTTTTTTTTTTTTTACAGAAATGAGGTCAAAAGCATTCAGTGCCTGGCTTTGCAGAAGAAGCCAAATGGGAAAATGTCTAAGACAATTAAATATGTGTATTTTCAGGGTATTTTTTTTCCCTAGGAACACAGCAAAGCTGTAATATAGGATGACGTTTTAATGCTTGTGAATCATGCACCCCACTACAATTGTTCACTTTTATTTATTGCCATGTATGCTGCAACCTCCTTAGTGTTTTTAGTATTCTACCTTTTTCCTACGTTTGATGAGTCCATACAATTTGTTAAAGGGAAAGTTCCAAGTTTTAAATAGGAACATAAGAAAAAGGCTTGGCCTGTATCAGACCATTTGGTGCTTTATTTAGTTGAGAGCCTGACTAGTAGCAGCTCTCCAGAGTTGAAACTGGGGTCTTCTTAACTCTATCTGGAGGAGACAGAGATTAGGCCTGGGACTTCCTGACCTACATGTAAAACAGAGCCTATCCCTTCATCCTGGACAGATTGGTGAACATGCTATGAAGAGCATGGAAAGAGAATGTTTTGCAATAAGGGAGAAATGGCTGTCCTTGGCTAGGATCCAGACATTTTTCTCTTAAACTGAGGCCTCCCTAGTTAGCCAAAACCCAATCTAGGAACAGGAATTTAACTTGTCCAAGGTACTTTTATATTCTCTGGAGTTAGAGGAATATATATGATTTTATAAAGTAATCAAGGTCAAAGTGCTCAGATATGACCAATCTGTTCTCTAGTTATATCCATTTTCTAAGCCAGATCTGCTCCATGGTGACATATCTCTTAGTTACTGTGCTTATCTAAGTACTATAATGAGACTAGTGCACCAAATATGTTTTCAAGGTCAACTGGTCTAAAATGATTTGTTCGTACAATCAACAGGCTGAATATATGCAGCATATGACTCCTATAACAAAATATCTCCTGGATTGTTTCAAAGGGCTACCAATCTATAAAGCCCCTATATAACTTCTAAAGCCTACATTCTCCCAAATAAGCCATTTAAGCTTTTTATTCTTCTTCTTTCAACCCTCCAAAGACATTCATACCACCCTATCTCAAACTCTCTGATTTCACACATGCATATGCATACCCCATTCCCCAAAATAAAATAAATATTAAAATAAGAAGTTTTCTGATTGAATGCAGTGGGACAAAAGGAGGTGGTTTGAGGTTTCACCTGGAAATCTCCAAAATTAATGAAAGCCTTTTGCTAATTTATCAGTAATTTATTTTTAGGAACACTGCTTAGCAAGTCTACCAGTGCAATCTTCTACTATTCTTTTGAAGTATTTGCTTCCTTGCCACTTAGAATATATTATTATTATAAAAATCATCATTTCTTTCAATTAAATTTACAAAACTAAAACATTTATTTGGGCATTTCCAACACTGTTTTATACATTGTACAATGTTTTACTTTCTATTTGATCTCAATGTTTTTTGCCTGAATAAAATACTGTGTTTGCAGCTGTTTTCACAGACTACCACTGTTCAATAAACCATTTTCTTATTCATTTTTGTCAGACTACCTGTACTTTAATGTATACATTTGTTATCTAACCTTGCCAACAAATCATCTATTGATATCTTTAATAATTTAAACTCAGTTTTTACATTCCATTAACGTTTTGCTGTTCCACACTGTTCAGGCTAGACCTTAAATAGTCTTTTTTGGAATGAATTTACTTGTAAAGAAACATGAAAAGAATTCTACAACATAATAATAAATTTATAATGTTCACTTAAACATGCAGACATCTTTCCATTGTTTTATAATATTACTTTTTACTACGTTGTATATATAATTCCCTTGATCTTCCAGGATGCATTAGCCAGAATGGTGTAAAATAAAAATGTAATAAAACCAACATGATGCCTGAACACCAAAGTACCTATAAACACACGCCCTTCAAGCTCTTTGTCAATCCCATTTAGTTTATCTTTACATATTATTTTAATTAAAAGTAATTATCAGCAAGAAGTTGTCATCTGATGAACGAAGAGCTATCGTCTATCATCTAGCTTTTTAAGAATGCCTCAAGGCTTCATTTCAATTCTAAGTATATTTTTAGAAAATAAAAATGGCCAACAGCTCTAGTTCACCCATTTGTTTGGAAGCACATGAGCTGTTATGGTAAAGAGTATCCAGTTATGCTAAATATGACGGTGAGGATAGCCTCATCTGTTTGTGTTCTAGTCTTGTGATTCGTAAGGATCACAGCAGTTGTTTTGTTATTGGGCAGCCTCCCTGCATCCACACACTCACTCCAATTTCTGCAAGTGCCACTGTACTCATAACACCGGATCCCTCTAATAAAATACCATGCATCCTTTAAATCTAATATCTTTTGGAAGCATATGATTTTATAAACCACTCTCTTGCTTACAGGACAGGATGTATCAGTTTTTCTAATATTTCAGAAAATGCAATCTAATATTTAATTATTAACTTTGTGAAAAAGTACCTCTATGCATTCTGGGTGATCACTTGCAAACAGCTTCCACTGTTCTAGAGAGTAATGTTTGTGTATTGCAGTAAACATGGTGTACTAGAAAAACAAATAAATATGCTATAATTATACTATTTGATGTAGACACATCAAAGTTACATACATACAAAACAAAGTTCCATGACGTCATTGCAAATACATAAAAGGTTCTTGTTTAAACAGTAGGAAGGTGTGAACTAGATACTGAAATAGAAAACCATGCAGAGATTCTAGATTACATATGAAAGACACAACAGCAAGGAACTAAAACTTTGCCTGAATGCACGTTCCAAGGTCAGTAGTTCTCCAGATTTAAGAAACTGTCTTTAAATGTAAATCTGGTCTATATGTAATACAACTGCCAGAGATTTCCACGATAGGAGAACTTCAGTATTATTTGTAAATTTTACTTGAATTCAAATATTACAGGACTGGATGCTAAGCCTGTAACCCTTCATAGCAGTTTAGTAATTATATAGTAAACCATTAGAGAAGATGACTCTGACAAAAGTGCTCTTCTTATCTAAGAACTGTTACAGGCTATGACACAAGCGTGAGGTATAGGAAGTATGAAAGAAAAGTTGTTGGGTGAGATGATAAAGCAGAAGAGGTTGTGCATGAGAAAAAGGCATATAAGAGAATTATTATTACAAAATATGAGAAGAAAATACTGTTTAATGGACATATATTAAGGGAGTGAGGGGATTATTGCTTTTTTATTGTTTTATATTGGGTTTTTGTCCTTGTAAGCACCCAGAGTCACTGAGAGTGAGTTGGGCGGTCATATAAATTTTCACAAATAAATAAAGTTGCAAGGAATAGAGCCAAGATAACAAGAAAGTGGGAATTGGAACTCTTAAGAGAAACATTTAATAACTTGATTGCAACAGGAATAGTTTGCTTAACAAGTTAAACAAAAATAAAAGTCAAGAATTAAATGGACTGAATATAAAAGTGAGTAACCAGTAGGCAAGAAGTACACTAAGGTGATTTAAACACAGAGAGAAATAATGAAGAATAAATCACAAAACAAATTAAAATGAATGACTCAAAAGAAAAGGAATATTGAGAAAATTGTGGTTGGATAAAGTTGATGACATCCTCAAAAATAGAGATAAAAATAAAAAAACAACGGATGAAGTGATGGATGAAGCAAAGATCATTTAAAGAAAGATAAAGAGAGGTTATAGTGAATGGGTTTTTTTTTTTAATTTCAGGACTTTAATTTCTTTTGCTTAGTAATCTTTTCTCCTTTTCTACATAATAGTATCTTGAAAGAGAATAGTATGATAAGCATGCATGTATGCCTACATGTAATTTTGATTATGTATGGTACAGTTATTTAACAACTTTCTTACAAAAATTAGCAGTGTTCCAAACTGGCTATCCCTAATTGGCTAATGCTTCATATGAGTGTTATAAAATTGACTTTTAGGTAATATGACATTTACTATAGATAGCAGATCATCCCAAGTCAATGACTTAAATCATTACAATGACTTGAAATTAATTCAAATGTTATTTTCATTCCTTTTTTTTTTTAGGAGAAGAGAATTAAGAAACACTTACTTTAGCCATAACTTGTGCCATTTCAAAAGTACCAACAGTGTCCATATTTGATACAATAACGGGGATGCCTGTATAGGTTTGCTTGGAGTTACGAAAGAAGAAAGTACGAGTAAGATCTACCTGTAAAAACAACACCTTTTTATTTTGGATCTGAAAGCATTTTTATTCTTATCAAGTGACAAAAATGGATTCAATATAGAATTAAGTCATAAAGTTAGAAAAATGAAAACACTAAAATAACAGATATTAAATATTTCTCTACATAATTACAGTATCTACAATCTCATAAGTGCTTCAGCTTCCTAAAATGGCAAGGAAGGAGATAGCCAGCCAATTTGTTTCTAACATTGTTAAAGCATCCCATTTAAGCAATAAATCCATCTGGACCATGAGAATAGCCTGAAATTCAAATCAGGTAATTAAACTTGTCAGCAAATATAAATAATGGAATCACATGCTCACAAAAAAGGTAGATTTATAATTCAGACATGCTTTTCAATCCATCCAATCCCTGGATGAGAAAAGTGAACTGGTTGAAAATATTTTTATTAGGCTGTGTTTACTTTTTCATCAGCTACTCAATTCTTGAAAGAACAAAGCAGTGTTTGATTTGGTGAATGAATGGACAAGTTGGAAGACTGGTTTGCAAGTATAAAAAGAGGTAGAGTGAAAAGCGTTTCTGTAAACACTTCAGTTAATTATATTTCCTTTTATATGAAGCCTTTAATTTCTTTGGCTTACAATTTCCATTTTCTGACTTCGCTGTCAGAAGATCACAAAACCAATTGCTAAGCGTCCATTCTGATACATCCTAAGAACAAGACTGAATCTCGTACGTATGTCATAATGTTCACAAAGAATCAAGAGTCAACATCTAACATGTTTCCAGAAATAGGAGAAAAGCAGCTCAGGTTCAAGGCTGATGGTTATTCTATTCCAATATTTAAGTGAATCATACAGAATCCAACCAGGTCTACTTTCAAATTCACACACACAGATGGAATCCATATGTGAATTCTACATTGGTCATACTACACCAAAAGAAGTATTTAATATTATTTCATTGGAAGCCACTGTTAATTTGTTAATCTGCAACCTGCACTTGTGAATGAAGCTCAAAATTATGTGGTGATTAGACTTAAAATTAACACAAATTTATCAAATATGGCCTGGTGGATTGTAATTATTTTTAGCTCTTATCTCCTTCAATTAAAAAGGCCCCAATTCTAGAAGATCTTTCAAAGTCCTTTCCAGATGACAGGAAACTATAATAAGTCATTTTGGATCAAAGCATGCTGGAAATCATATTTCAAAAATTTCCCTTATGTTAATTTGTTTCAGAGATATACTGTATTTTAACAATGGCTATGTAGCAAGAATTGTAATTATACAAACCATTTGGTTTCAACTAAAGATATCGCGGTAATCTGCATAATAGAAAGAGGCCCATCCTGCATTTTCATTCACCACCATCCCCTTCCTTTTTTCATTTCCACAAAACAGAGGTGCTGCAAGAAAATCCAGACTTTCAGTGGGATTCTGACCAAGGATCATCTGGTCTCCAAATTTGTCAACTTTAAGACTTGTGAACTTCAACTCCCAGAATTCCCCAGCCAGCATCGCCTTATCTAAACCAGCCTTACCTAAGCCAGCCATGCCCATCCATGGACTATGGGTTGCATGCAGCCCTGAACAGCTAGTAATGTGGTCCCACAAGAATGTAATCTTTTAACATTACGTGATTTATATACATTAACTATATATTTTATATACGACCCAAGACAAATCCTCTTCACTCAATGAGGCCCAAGTAAGCCAAAAGATTGGACAACAGTGATCTATACTGTGTCCCACAATCCCAGAGACTTGTTCTTTAAACCTGCTGTGCAAGCCTTCATCTGGGAATGCCCAGTTCCAACTACAGGGACAAAAGGCATGGTGACACTTTTGACTTTTTTGATCTTTACCCTTGGAGAGACGTTGTTTGTGTAAATAGGAATTTTTCAACATCCTTTTGGAGACTAAACGTTAGATAGAACTAAATTAATGATAAATGTTGGAAGAGTAAAGGCCAGTGTGTTTTCTGCAAAACACAAAAAGATTGCAATTCCATTTCCCAGCTCCCCTCCCTGCTTGCGCCTGTGTGTACTTCGCTATTCAAGACATCTGACCTGCCGGCCCCAGGAAATCGCTTCTGCAGCATTACTTCCACTCAAGAAAAGCCAGGCCTCTCATGGAGGGTTTGTAACTTGAATCAGCCTCCCCCCCTCTTCCTTTCCCCCATAAAATGATCTGTCATGCCACTTGTTTATCGGCTCCTCTACAAACAGTTCCGAGCAGAATGCAATCCGACTCTAGGTCCCCTTCTGTCGGCCTCACACACACACACCCCCGCCCCCCAACATCCCTGCTGGCTTCTTGCAAATTTGGAAGCAATTCCACCAAATGCCCCGGTGAGCACTTTCCTAAGGATTCTCCTCGGGATCACAATCTGCAAAAGGTGGGAACAAAAAAAACAAAAACAAAAAGCAAAGCAAAGCAAAGCAATACCGGTAGCTGCTACAGAGGGGCCGACCTCGCCGACCGGGTTACGCACGGAAAGTTCTGAAATCCTTTGACTTCGTATTAGGGACAAAAAAGAGGCAGAGGCGGCGAGGGCATTAACCCCTTCGCCTGAAATGCAAATAGGAAGAGAAGAGGGATTACATATAATGAAGCCGGACGCCGCATTTTAAAGAGGGGTGGGGGAGAAAAGCATGCTCCTTTGGAAATGCCCCCACCTCTGCTCTGCTTCGGAGGCTGCTCCGCTTAGGTCTGAGCAAGACATCTTTAAAGTCCAGTTTGAGATCTGCATCTACTCGGGGCATCTCGCCGGCTCGTCTAGGAGGACGGGCGCTCAAGCTGCCTCAGGTTTTCCCGCGGTGGCGGCGGCTGTTCTTCTGAGCCAGGGTCAGGCAGCCCACAAGCCACCCGAGCTGGTGTTCGGGGCCGGCTGAATATTTATAGGGCGTGAAGAAGCGGGAGGCAGCGTACCGGCCCCATCGCTTTATTAGGAGCGGGCTGGCACGGAATGCACATGGCCGCGAGGCGGGTCAGACTGGGGCCTCGCTCTCCGCCGGCGGCCCCTCGCCCGACCTCGCTTTGCCTCTCCCGGGTCGGCACTGCAGCTCTGGCTAGCGCCTGAGCGTTGCGCGCTCCTACAGCAATGCAGCTCAGTAGTGGCCAGATAGAGACGCTGCTGCACTTAGCAGCAGCAGCAGCAGCAAGAGGAGGAGGCGGCGGCGGCCGTTCCTGCAGTAACGTAGCGCTGCACCAGTCGGCGCTGATTTTCCCGGGAAAGAAGCGAGGAAGCGGGCACGCCGGGCTGCAACCGACGCCGCTTCAAATCGGAAACCTGCGGGAGAATTAAGGCTGAAGAGACGGCGGCTCTCCTCAAACCTTCCCCATTTGTGGAGAAATAGCAGGAGTTGCTTCTCCTGTTCGCGCGTTCCTTTTTCTTCCTCCTTCCCTCCCCACCTTCTTTGTGGCTGTTGATGTGCGTAAGTTCTTCTCTTACACTGTATTTTTATTTATTTGCCTGCATTTATATTGTCTTTCGCGCGTTGCAGAGGGCTTTGAGGTGAAGAAAACCTTTCTCTCCTCACAAATTAATTTGCCTCTCAGGTGCTAGCACAACGGTGCTTCTTGAAGACGTAAGTTGTCCATTGCTTGTGTTGTGCTGTGACTACAACTCCCACAGTCTCCAATGGGACAGTGTAGCCTCTGAGAATTCTGGGAGTTGTAGTGTCCACAGATCTGGCTGTGAAACCTGCCTTAAAGAGCTCTTAGAAATTATTGTAATAATGGATGCTAATCTTCTAGTATCTTCTGTGAGCCTGTGAGACAAGAGTCTGATAATATTTCAGGTGTTCTTGATTTTCTTTTTTAAAGTAATCTGTCTGTATTCCATCCTTCTCCATTACACAAGCGGTGTGCATGATTCTTCCTTAATTCTAAGGAAGTGTATTACATTTGAAGTGTATTACATTTACAACTAATTACAAGTGTACCTCTATGCAACCTGTCTCTCACGTTTCTTAATTCAGATTTGCCCAGAATAGCACTTCCAGTTCTTTGTGACCCTTTGGGCAATTGGTTTGCCAAATTTATCAGTCGGCAACTTTATTTGAGTTTTGTAAACTCCTGCTTATAATATCAGTGATAGTATAGGTAGTCCTCAACTTATGTCCACAGTTGAGCCCAAAATGTCTGTTGCTAAGCGAGAGAGTTGTTAGGTGACTTTTGCCCCGTTTTATGACCTTTCTCATCACAGTTGTTAAAAAAATCACTTCAGTTGTTAAGTTAGTGACAAGGTTGTTAAGTGAATCTGGTTTTCCCTTTGACTTTGCTTTTCAGAAGGGTGCAAAAGTTGATCACATGATGCCGGAACATTGCAACTGTCATAAATATGAATCAGTTGCCAAGTGTCTGAATTTTGATCACATAACCATGGGGATGCTGCAACAAAATGTAAAAAAGGTCATAAATCACTTTTTTCAGTGCTGTTGTTACTTTGAATCATCACTAAATGAACTATTGTAAGTCGAGGACTACCTGTACTGTATCTAATCATGTTATGAAATGGACTTCCATCATTAGTACTGGATTTTTTAAAAAAAATTAAATATGTTTTATTAATTTTTTAACATAATCACCTTAATATTCGGTAAACTGTGTTGTCTGGGTTTACATTTAAGAAACATTCACTAACAGTTGATTTCTATAATCTATAATCCACATAATAACTTTACTTGATTTCCTCTTTTTCCCATAATGTTCTCTTTTACCAACCTTAAGTTAATACAATTCTTGTTGTTTTAATGAATGATGATTGAGTATAAAAGTTTTCTAATATTTCTACAGATAATAATCACATCAATATAATATTCCTTTTCTATCAAGTCATTCTGGTTGTCTCATCATAGGTCCTGTTTACAATTCTTGTTTACATTTGTTTTTCCCACAATGTTCAAAACATTCTTACTGGTTAAGATTTTCTCAAAGTTAATTACATTGAAATATTTAAATTATTTTTTCTCTTGTAAGCCAACCCAATACTTTTACCTTTCTTAAGGAATAAATAAGACTAAAAAAAGAAAAAGAATAAATAAAATAAAAAGATAGTATGCTACTTAAAATCCCTATTTACTATAAGCTAATACATATTTGTTTCCATTTTTTGTTCTTTTTACCATAATTAAAAATATATTTAATTTTAAAATATTCCATTTAATAAATCTAGTCCTCTAGTCTTTTAATTCTTATTCAAAACATATTTTTAACTCATTGTAATTTTCTTAAAGTCAATCACCTTTAGATATCTAAAACATTTCCTTTATATAAGCCATTCCAACTTTTATATTACTCATATCAAGAAATAAATTAAAAAAGAAGAAGAAAAAGAAAGTACTAGTTACTTGAGGGGCTCTTCCCTCTTAAAGTCAAATTCACATCCAAACTTTTTCTATTTCTTTAACCATATTCGAACAGGTGTTTCTTTTTTAAATATTCTCTCTGATAGGCCCCATCGTCTGTTTTCTTAATTTTCACTTTAGCTTTTCCTTTTGCCCAGGATCTTTCTTAATCAATATGTTCTGCTGAGTCAAAGAATCTTTCCATATTCTTGTAGGTGTTACTGTAGATATAAAAGGTAAGTCAAGTACAATATCTTTGAGAGAGGCATTTACCCATTCATTTTTGTTGAAAATCTTTTTCTTTCATTTTCTCTCTGCTTCTCTTATCATTTTTTGTCTCTCCAGTTCTAGTGTTTTTCCTGGCATCTTTGCAGTCCATTTTGTCCAATCTTTTTTCTTATCCTCAAATTTGTTTTGTGGTGTTAAAGTATAAGTTGTCTTTTCCAAATCCAGTATTTCTTGTAAATTTTTTTCCACTTGGGTTAAATCATACTTCTTTGTTTTGTTAGGTTCCATCTTTAAGTCTCTATCCTCAAATTTGTATTCAGCTGTCTGTTTTATCTGTTCCTTCTCTGTTGTTGTTTCCTGGGATTTTTTTGTTGTTGTAAAGTTAAATTGGAGATGAATTGTTTTATATTTTCAAAGTTATTTTGGATTTCTTTGTGGTTTGAAATCATTGTTATTTGAATTAGTTGCAACATATCATATGTCTTCTCTTGAAAAGTATTTTATTTTTTCTTGATAGGTTCTTTCTATACATCTCTGATTTTCCATGATGACCAAGAATCCAAATTTTCTTTTCTCTGCAAATAGCTTTGGGGTCAGAGTTAAATAGATAATTGTAATCCAGAAAGTTCCAAAAAGTTTTGCGTTTTTTGTTCTCTGAAGCTTGTAAGTCTCACTTTGTCTGCAGCCCATATTGTTTTCTTTTTTGTCACAGCTGTTCTCTATTGTTAGAGCTTTGGACATCACAAGTAGAGATTAGATTTTTCCAGATTTTGCCAAGTCCTGCATGAAAGCCATAGCTGTCACAGTCTTCATCCACCACTAAATGTCAGCACTGGTTTACTTTTCAAATTTTCAAAATGAACAAATTGCCTTTAAAATGAGAATCTTAACCATTCAGTAACTTCAAAATTATCCAGATTTAGGTTTTATAGTCATTTCATTTCATTTCAATACATTTTGGTCCATCATAAAAGGTTTAATTCGCCGCTTCCATTAGTAAAAGGGTGGGGCAAAATTCCCCTACTTCACTTTCAGAGGTTTTTGCTTCTTGGGATTTTTTTCCTTCAGGAAAGTTGATAAATAGGATAGAGAAAATCGATGTTCTTACCCAGATTCAAACACGCTGTTTACAATCAGCTTAAAATAATGCTTTTGACTTCGGTTGCTTGCAGCTTGGGCTAGACTCTGAAGTTAGGCTAGCCTTTTTCCTGTTGGTTTCTGGAAGGCTTCTCCTGGGCCAATGGGGTCGACTGCTGTCTCTCTAAGGTCCCCGGGATTTACTTCCTGTGGGGAAAAATGCACGTGCAGCAAACTGCCGTGCTTTCCCCCCCACAAATCTCATAACCTTTTGATACCCTTTGTCCCAGTGAAGCAGCCAGAAGGTCATACCCTTTTGACTTAATGCCTCACCTACCTAAACAGATAATATGCATAGTTCCTTCTCCTATCTCTTCCTGTCTTTGTTAGTTCCTTCTGCTTTCATCTCCCTGTATTTGTTCTTACCTGATCTTTGACCATGTAATGTGTTACTAGAAAATAGTTGCTTACATGAAGACATTTTTCAATGAAGAAATCTTTGTCAGCATTTAATGGTAAAGCCTATGTATGTAACAAGTATATAAGAAGCAATAAACTCAGAGTTTGTCAAGCAGTGTCTTGCAGCTTCAAACCTCTGCTCAAGACATGCCTGTGTCTTTTTCTTAGTGTCTTACATCTGGCCCCTGAACAGGGACAGCCCCCCATGGAGCAACTGGGACAGCCCCCCCTTCCGAGGGAGCAACAGCCAACATACTTACTAGCTTCTGGAATAGACCCCTAAGTGCACTTTCATCCTATGGGACCCCTCAGTGGTAAGTAAGGGTTGCAATCTATCTCAGCACCAGCAGAAACATGTACAGGAACTCAGATTCCTGTTACACAAATCAGGCGTGAAAGTGCCTGAAGCAGACATAAGGAAGCTGGTGGATGAGGTAGGGAAACACTTCCCTTGATATCCTAAGCGCTGGACGCTTAGGTTACGAGATTGGGAAAAGATAGGGCATACTTTACATCTTGAATCTCGGGCTCCAGTACAGGTATTACATCAATGGCATCAGTGCCATCAAGCAGTGGAAAAATTTGGCTCGGATGCTTCAGTAGGGCAACAGTTAACTACAAGCCACACACCTGATTAGGATCAAATAAAAAGTGTGCCTCCGAAAGCATCTTTAATTGGATTTTCAGCTCCTTCTGAAGAGGCTAATTCTTTTGCCTCCTTACGGCCACCATACACCCCCATAAGGAAAATATTAGAGGAACAATCTTGAAGTAGAAAAAATAAATATGGGGAATCGTCAGAGGAATTTAAAAAAACAAATTAAATCAAAATGTACTCCTCTGCAATGTGTTTTGAAGTAGCTGTTAAATTTAACCCTGTCAGACAATGTCTGGTGGTGCTTTGTGTTGATGTGTATAAGTATAAATAATCTTTAACAAGGCAACATGGAAAAACTTTGTAAACCTCCGGTTGGCTAGTTTATCTGATAACAACTAAAGACATGGAAGAAAAAGAAAAGAAAATTCAAAGAACTGAAAGCAAGTTTTTTTTTCTTCCTTTTTCCCCCTTTTAATCTGGCTCTATTCAATTCCCCTTTGTCAGAGGTGAGGAGAGGAGGCTGCTACTTTTCCCTCACCCTTCACACCTTCAATATTCCTTTTAGTCTTTCCCCAATGTCTTTTGAAGTTGCTGGGATAAATTGGAAGTAATCATAAATGTTCCCCTCCTTTTTAATTAAAAGGGGAGGCCTGTTTTAGCCTCAAACCCCAAACTGATGTGTGTTTTTTTATGTATTTGTGTATATATGTTTGTCTGTGTTCTGTGTTATTTCCAAGACTTGGAAGAGGGTCAAAACCCTCTCTGATAACATCACACAAAAAGGCCTTATTTAAAAATAAATAGTTTGCCTGGAGCAAGTATGAAATGAAATATTTGTATGTGGAATTGTTTATACAAGCAGTTAGAATGAAAATGAATGAATTAATTTGTTGATACCTAAGTGTGTGTGTTAGCCCTCAAACCCCACCCCCCACCCACTCTCTCCCAGGCTGTGAAAGAAATAGTAAACTGCAGATTTTATTGTAAAAGTAAATTGAAAAGTAATAGTGTTTGCATGAGAAGAATCCCATGGAGAATGTGTGAGAGAATTTATGGAAAATTCATATGAAGGAGAGAAAACTATTTTTTAGTGGTGAGAAGTTTGTAACAAAAACTTTTCCTGTCTCTTTTGTTTTTCAACTGGCTGTGTTGCTTTAAGACAGCGGTTCTCAACCTATGGGTTGCGACCCCATTTGGGGTCGATCGACCATTTTTCGGGGGTCGCCAAAGGCGGTGATCCGCCATTTTCTCCCCTCCGGGGGCGCCGCCGCGCATGCGCACCATGCATGGGGGGCGCCATGCATGGGGGCGCCCCCATGCGCGCCGCACTGCGCATGCGCATAACATTTGTGTGACGGGGGTCACCGTCACACAAATGTTGAGAACCGCTGCTTTAAGAGCAAGAGAGACCGAAAGAAGGGGGGTGGAACTGTTCGTTTTAAACTTTTTTTCCTCTCTGCTTAGAATTCCGGTTTGCGAATGGAGATGAAATTAATGCCCACTCTTGCAGTTTCAGATTACAAAGTTTTACTCGAAAGAGGAAACAGTAATTGTTGGATATTTTTTTTTGGGGGGGGAAGTGTTGAGTTTAAATTGTTTAGTTACACCTATATATCCATCAACCAAAAGAAATGACTCTGAATTGTTCTGCTTAGATTTGTAAATGTTTAACATACTTAATAGAAATTTGTTTTTATCTGAATGGTATTTGTTTAACATACTTAATAGAAATTTGTTTTCATCTGAATGGTATTTGACTTATTGACCAAAGGAAAACAACCTGGAGATCTCATTGTAGTTCCACTTGCAGCATTTACCACAGTTCAGCAAATTAAGTACTTGAGTACTCAATTTGTGGACAGAATTCCACATAAAAATTGTCACTTAACACTTTTCATATTTCTTACTAGTAAGCTACTATCAGGAGTATTAGCTGTGTTAGAAGCACAAAAAGTATATTGTATTGAATGGCTTTACTTATCCCATCCCAAAATGTTTTATCTTTTATCCAGGCTGTTGCTGAAATAACCTTAGGACACAATCAAGCTTGTCCTTGAAATGGGACTGATTTAATTAATATTGTCCTTCCTATCCCAAAATTTGATTTTCAATTTTATTTTCAGAATAACTTATCTCTTCAGTGCTGACTATATAAGCTGTATTTCATATCATCTGCCTACACTGCAGTGCAATCCTCACCACAACACTCAGAATTATGTGCTATTTTAGCTTTCCACACCTTTTCTCAACAGACTTTTAACTTAATCTCTGACTCTCATTATGTGTGCCAACTTATTTTTAATTTTCCAGGTGCTTACATCGTGCCCAGGATCAACCCCAATCTTATGGCTTTGTTTTTAACTTTACAGCAGCTATCCTTTGTTTCTCACATACGCATCGGGCCTTTAAGGACTGCCTTCACAAACAAAAAAGGAGGGATCAAGGGTACCTAATTTGGCATGGATAACTCATCAAGTCAATAAAGTCCTAATAACTTTAAATCAGCTAAATATTTCTTTTCAAAAAACTACTGCCTACCAGCGTCACTTTCAGCAGAAAGCTGTGCTCCCTAATCCATTGGTATGTTATCGGCAATTGGCTGATAAAACCTGGTTAGGTCCAATTCCCTTACTAACTTGGAGGCGAGGCTATAGTGCTGTGCTTGCTCCTACAGGCCCTCTCTGGATTCCAGCCCAGTGTGTGCGACCAGCCAAAGATGTCATGGCATCAAGTCCAGAACCCAATACCGGAAATGAAGAAGGTGACTCTTCAGACAGCACAACATCCCTTTCGCTCTCGCCATCGCAGTTGACCAATGACCTGGGGCAATGTGACATCCTAACATCCAAAGCGCAGGAGGTTCTGCGGCAACAGGGAAAAGAACCTATACCAGAGAATTTATGCGCTGCCATATTTGTGGTTTTGACTGCAAATTCCTTAGTCATTCTTTGCCTCTCTTTCCTTCTTAATTGCTGTGTGGGGGCTCAAGCTCTCCCACCTCATCCTTTAGAATCACAGATGTATTTCTGAATCATATGATATGGAAAATCTATTCTCTACCTGTCTTATACCTTTGTGTGTTCCAGCTTCAGTTTTAAAAAATTATACTGGTTTAAGCAATTTTCTATCAGACAATGAAATTCATTACACAACTATGGAGTCCTATCTCTTATATGTTACCCTTTGATACTATTGTTTTGCATACACCAATTGTAGCTGTTCCTACAAATCTTACTTGTGCAAAAATTGTCAATTGTACTACTTCACCTAAAAATCTTCATTGTATACATGTCAGTCAAAGAATTTTAAATTGTACCTCCTTTCAAGAGGTATCCTTTAATTATGCACATATATGGTTATTCAATGTCTTTTTTTTCCTCTACTTTCAATTTTCCATACTAAACTACCATTAACTTACCTCAGGAACAAGTTATGTTTTGTATAAACAAATGCAAAGTTATACGTCCCCTGACTAAGACCCACTAATTACTCCAGCTTAGGATAATGTCCTCACTAATAAAATAGAGAAGAGTGAGATGTGGGGGAAAAAAAATGCAGGCTCAGCAAACTGCCGTGCTTTCCCCCCCACAAATCTCATAACCTTTTGATACCCTTTGTCTCAGTGAAGCAGCCAGAAGGTCATACCCTTTTGACTTAATGCCTTATCTACCTAAACAGATAATATGCTTAGTTCCTTCTATCTCTTCCTGCCTTTGTTAGTTCCTTCTGCTTTCATCTCCCTGTATTTGTTCTTACCTGATCTTTGACCATGTAATGTGTTACTAGAAAATAGTTGCTTACATGAAGATATTTTCCAATGAAGAAACCTTTGTCAGTATTTAATGGTAAAGCCTATGTATGTAACAAGTATATAAGAAGCAATAAACTCAAGAGTTTGTCAAGCTGTGTCTTGCAGCTTCAAACCTCTGCTTAAGACATGCCTGTGTCTTTTTCTTAGCGTCTTACACTTCCTTCTTTGCCGCCTCTTCGGGGCAGCTTCTGGCCCATTTAGGGTCCCCTAACAGGAAGAAACTCAGCTGAAGGGCACAGAGTCAGGAGCTGTTTAATGCCCAAATGCCCTCAGGAGTCAACATCCATGAAAGATTTCCAAGAGGAGGTGAAAGCCACTATGATCCTCACAAACTTTATTAAACATAAATACTTACAGGAATAAACACACAATGTTACTTGCGACAGACAACAGATATGTATGCTGTGTTCTGCCATGACATGTCTGTGCCCAGGAGCTGGTTTGCAAAGCTTTTCCAACAATAGGCCCTTCCTGTGAACTCTTCTATATCTCTGCACCTGGCATTACCTCACTGTGCGTTCACATTCACAGATATAGTCTGTACTATGCTAAGAGGTTATGCAGTAGTTAAACATGTTATTAGTTTAGTTCTGGATGTGCAAGAACTCAAGTCTCCTCCCTATTTTCTCCTACAACCAGATAGGTAGAGCTGAGTGAAAGTGACCCAAAATCAACTAGTGAGCTTCTATAGCTGTGAGAGGACTAGAACCAGTCTCCCAGTGTCAGCCCAGCACCTTAACCACTACACTGGATCTCCTCTGATATCAGTGATTCTCATCTAGTATCCAACCATTATTAACCCCAACCCTTGACTTTATACACTTTTGTTGGCAGTACAAACTGACTATGCTTTAAAATTCTGTTATCTATTAAAATCTTTCTCCAAAGATCCAGATATCTCTCTCGGGTTTTGAGCTGAGAAAGATAAAGTCAGTTCTTACACTAATTTACAACCATATGCACAAAATTGATATGAGCAGTTAATATTTTTTTAAAAAAATACTGAGCATCAAAATGGCGTTTGCACTTTCAACTTTAACCTTCAGCAAGAGGTTTCTTAAGTCTTCCTCACTTCCAGCTACCAAGGTGATGTCTACAGTGTATCTGTGGTTCTTAATATTTCTCTCAGCAATTTAAATCTTAATATGGCATTTCTCATAATATGTTCTGATATAGGTTTAATAACTATATAATCTTGGCACGTGGCTTTTGCAATTTTGAACTGCTTAGTTGCTATATATTCCATTCTAAATGCTGCTTCCTAATCAGCATTTCTTCCAAAGTGGATCTAGCTAAACTTTTTTCTTCTGAGACAACTTGAAACAGATTAGATAGACTGGAGACCAACCTAGAGTTATCACTAAAGGATCCAGGGTAAGCTTCTTCAAAAGAGATCTAACAATTGCCTTCTTTAAATACGAAGGCAACCTGCATTCCCTTATTGATATCAGGAAGGACAGTCCTAATAATGAAATCAACCACGTTGAGCCAAGTCCTGAAGAATGGATGGGGCCCTCATTTCTGCCATCTTAGGAAGTCACCAATTGAAAATGATAGAGTGCAGTCATATAAGAAGAATTGCTGGATACTCCTTAATAAAAATTATGTTTTATTTCTCATTACAGAACCCATTTACTTGTACTTTTCTCCTGGACTCATGTCTATAACCATTCAGAAGAAAGAAAATATACAAGATAAATGAAGGAAGCATATCTATTTCCTTACCCAATCTGCATAATTAGACGAGCAGGTGAGTTGGAATTACAACAAGAAGGAAGAGGCGGGGAAGGTAAGGCGATTCCCAGGATTTAGAGTTGTCTTCCTACAAACGTGAGTCTTAAAAGCCTACTTTTGATTTCTGGCATATTTGTATTTAAAATAAAAAATAAAAAAATTAAAGCACTTATTTGGTAGCTCAAAATGTAGCACAGTTAATATAAGCTGGGATGCTTGATATTTGTGTCATACAATTCTCTACCACGCCTTAGATAACTAGAAAATATAATTTGTTTTCTAATGTTTCTCATTTTCCAGGCAAAGTGGTTATTTTAATAATGGACTTCTCTTTGCGTTCCTCTTATAGCTCCAACTCTAAATAATGCTATTTTAATTTTAAATCATTTCCATATCTCTCTCCACAGATGGTTACATTTAAATGAAGTCAGAGGTGACATTTGCAAATCAGAGTAATTGCTTCTGGACCAGCCCAAACTACTATTCATTAGATTTTCTCAGAAAACACAGTGTTAATAGGCTGTGCTTTCATCTTCAGTTCCCCAGATTAAATGGTCAAAAATTTCCATAATAAAGTAGACCTCTGCTCCAGGCAACCTTATAATCATTGCTACATTCGTTCAGCTTTATAAATAGAAACGATTATATTCAGTGCAACTAGTTCTTTATATAAATATCTTTTCCAGCGGAAAAGAGGAGCTTATAGGGTCTCAAATCTCCATTCTTGAAGCCCTTTGAGTGATCTTTCTTGGTCCTACTTCCTGCTTTAAGTTGTATCTTGTTATTTGTTGCTGCCATCACTTATCTTCCAGTCATCCTCCCCCAATCCCAGTATGTAAGAGAAATACTTCTCTGCTAATTAAAAAGCTCAGAAGTGGAAATAATGTCAGTAAAGCTATCTCTGAGCCAAATAGCAGGTTATGTATCTAGAGCAGTGGTTCTCAACCTGTGGGTCGGGACCCCATTTGGGGTCGAACGACCATTTCACGGGGTCACCAAACAACGCAGTCCGCCATTTTTTCCCCCTTTTCCTTAGCTGTGCTACTCCCTTTTATACTATTGGCTTTTGAAAGCCAATAGAATAGACTCTCTTGAATAGAGTCTAATTCTATTGGCTTTCAAAAGCCAATAGGAATTGTCCAGGCTATCTCTGCCCTGCTGAGCCCACCAAAAGTCCCATTCTGCAAACAGTGCTGCACCAGTTGAGTAGTCTTTGACTTACGACCGGTTGAGTAGTCCTCGACTTACGACCGGTTGGGGGTTGCGGCATTAAAAAGGTTGAGAACCACTGATCTAGAGGTTTCAGTCTCCTTCCATCCTTGAAAGACATACCAAATTCACTAAAGATAAACAAAATAAAACTTTGTCTCTTTTCTTTCTTAGTTTGTATTTTTAGTTGGTTGTGGTTTGTTAGAAAACAAATTATACATTTGGTTTAATCGGGGTCAGCAATTAACAGTAAGCCAAATTCCACAAGAAAATATGAAATAATTACTCCACATAGACCAGAAGATGGCACTGGTCTGCAAAATAAAAAGCTACCTGTCAAGAGATTCATAGTATATAAACAACCAGAAAATTATAAATAAAATGATCATCCACAATCTTGAGGTTTGACGCCAGTTTCTAAATTTATAGCAAAATAAGAGCATTATATTTAAAATAATTCTACATAGAAAAAAAGAAAGCATTCCATACAAATTTCTGTTTGCCTTTTTTGTCTATTTGTTCAGAAATAACTTTTACTGAAGGATCTGGTCTGCTTGCTTTTCTGAGGTTCTTGGGCATTCTGGCAAGACAGTAACCCTACCTCTGATCCTGAATTCAGCCAGCTCTTTTTTCATTCCCCTTTCCAGTTTTAGCTCTGTCTTTCTAAAGGACCCAGAATGTTATAGGGAAAGACTGCGATACCTATTTTTGCTTAGAGGACATTTCTCCCTTGTGAATGTGGATTATATGTCTGAGCCTGTGAAAATATGTCTCGTGTTCTGAATTGACAGCTTTTGTAGCTACCTTTCCATACAAGTAGTCCTTGACTTATGACCACAATTGAGCCCAAAATTTCTATTGTTCAGTGAGACATTTGTTAAGTGAGTTTTGCCCCATTTTACAACCTTTCCGTTGATAAGTTAGTAACGCAGCTGTAAAGTGAATTATGTGATTCCCCATTGACGTTGCTTGTCAGAAAGTTGCAAAAGGTGATCCCGTGACCTAAATATGAACCAGTTGCCAAGCATCTGAATTTTGACCACATGATCATGGGAATGCTACAAAGGTTGTAACTGTGAAAAACGGTCATAAGTCACATTTTTCAGTACCGTTGTAACTTTGAACTGTCGCTAAATGAACTGTTGGAAGTCAAGGACTACCTACATTCTTTTTCTCCTTCTCAGTACATCCACTAATATTCCCTTCCATTTTTTATATGCAATTCTAGTGTATAGAACAGAGGTTCCCAACTCCTGGTCCATGGCCTGGCACTGGGCCGCGGCATGCCAGAAACCAGGCTGCGCAAACAAGCGAAGCTCCATCCATGGGATGCAGGCAGCACACGAAATCACGCCCCCTCTGGTCCGCAGAAACACCTCTCCCCACAGAACTGGTCCCTCGTGCCTAAAAGGTTGGGGGCCTCTGATATAGAAGATGGTTACACAGAAAACAGCTATGCCATAGGCAGCTATACAAACTCTGGTTCTTGTACATAGCGTTATGTATTGTGACACCAAATACATGACAGGGCGGAGTTTACATCATGATGCATTTTCGGTCTTTCTAAAAAAAATCCTCCCTATTTAATGAACATCTCGTGAGTATGACAGTTACATATTATTGATATTCTGTGAAGATCTTCATCAGATCCCTGCCCTTAAGTTTGAACAATTTTATCCTGAACAGATCCCCCAAATAGATAATTTCATTTGTGCCAATGATATTAACTGTTTCCGAAAGCAAGACAATGTTACTGTACCTAGTAACATTATTTTGAATATCTTTAAAAATATTTTTGAACAGAATGTCAAATTGTTTTAGTACTTTTTAGCAGAATTATATGGCAAACCTAAGTCAGTTATAGAGCAATAATCAGTGTACTATGTTCCTTGAAAATTGTCAGCTGTACAGAAGAAATGTGAGCATATTCAAATTATCCTGAACATTCCACGTTTTGTGCCTGTGCTCATAACAATTGGTACAAACGCCACTTTTGACTTAATTCCATTTCTTGCAAATATTCCCAAGGAGATAGCAGTATTCCAAAATGGCTGCTCTTGAATGTCCATTCACACGATAGCTGTTAATGAATCTGGCAAGTCATAAAATACCCTTTTCATAGGAAGGTGTACTGATGACAAGTAACATGACCCAAAACCTCAAGGCAAGGAAAGCAGCACATCTCCCAGTACACAATCTGGTTGTTAAAGACCTTCCTCCAAACCACATTTAAGCTAAAACTTCTCTCCTCTCTTTTGCTCTCTTGTACATACAAAACTAAAAATACATCATGCAGACACTGTTGGTTCATCTTGAGTTTACATTCAATTACTGTAGATATTCCTTGACATAGCCATTTGCTTATCAACTGTTCGAAGTTACAAAACCACTGAAAAAAGTGACTGATGGCTGTTTTTCATATTTACGACTATTGCAGCATCCCCACATCATGGGATCAAATTTCAGACTCTTAGCAACTGATTCATATTGATGACAGTTGCAGTGTGCCGGGATCATGTAATCTCCTTTTGCAACTCCTGACAAGCAAAGTCAATGGGGAAGCCAGATTCACTTAACAGCCAAGCTACTAACTTAACAACTGCAATGATTCACTTAACAACTGTGGCTAGAAAGGTCATAAAATAGGGCAAAACTCACTTAACTGTCTCGTTTAACAACAGAAATTTTAGGCTGTGGTTGTAAGTCAAGGGCTACCTGTGGTTGTAAGTCAAGGGCTACCTGTACAGGAAAAAAGTGCATTTTTAAAAAAGTTGTTGTTGTTGTTAATTGCGAAGTCGTGTCCGACCCGTCGCGACCCCATGGACAATGTTCCTCCAGGTCTTCCTGTCCTCTACTATCTTCTGGAGTCCATTTAAATTCACACCTACTGCTTCAGTGACTCCATCCAGCCATCTCATTCTCTGTCGTCCCTTTCTTCTATTGCCCTCAATCTTTCCCAACATTAGGCTCTTCTCCAGTGAGTCCTTCCTTCTCATTAGGTGGCCAAAGTACTTGAGTTTCAACTTCAGGATCTGGCCTTCTAAAGAGCAGTCGGGGTTGATCTCTTCTAGGACTGACCGGTTTGAACGCCTTGCAGTCCAAGGGACTCGCAGGAGTCTTCTCCAGCACCATAGTTCAAAGGCCTCAATTCTTTTGCGCTCAGCCTTTCTTATGGTCCAACTTTCACAGCCATACATTGCAACTGGGAAAACCATGGCCTGGACTATACGCACTTTTGTTGGCACCCTGCCAACAAAAGTTTAAAAAAGTACTCTTGCCAAACAAGTTTATCCCACATGATTATATCACCTGCACACCTGATTACCTTTCTACTTTTTCATTTAATGAAAAAATAATAAAAATGTTGATGTGTGCAAGATACATGACTGAACTTTCTGGCATAATATATCCTTTGAGTTTGATGAAGAACCATTAAGAACCACTTTTCAGTATTGTTTTGAGGGCAACCTACATACTCACTTGTCATATGATCCAGCCCCCTCCTAATTTAACTTAGTAATCAGACCAGCATGGACTACTTTGTTAAATACTCTACTAAAATCAAAATGCTACATAACATTCTCACAGACTGCTAGTGAAATTATCTGATGAATAAATGCAGTAAAATTAGTCTGTCAGCTCAATCTAGAGATTACATTGTTTTCAAAGTGCTTATTTATTGATCTCTTTTTGATTCTCTCTAGAATTCTCCCAAATAGCAATGTCAGATTGGACTTTAGTTCCTTAGGTCTTAACTTTTTCTATTATTGGACAACATTTGTTCTCATATAGTCACTTTTTACTTTT